TTTCTATCAGATTAGCATAAAGTAGCAGAAAATCACAGTTGGCCAATATCTGCTGATAGTGGGGTATTTAGCAGCAGTTATTTTACATTACATTACATTGCATTTAGCTGACGCTTTTATCCAAAGCGACTTACAATAAGTACATTCGACCAGGAAGACACAACCTTGAAGAAAACAGAATCATATAAGTACATCAGGTTTCATAGAGCCAAACATTTCAAGTGCTACTCAACTGGCTTTAGGTAAGCCAGCCCTTTATTAGTATAAAAGTGCTTCGTTAATAGTTCTATCGCTCGAAGTGGAGTCGAAAGAGATGAGTTTTCAGTTTGCGCCGGAAGATGTGCAAGCTATCTGCCGTCCTGATGTCAATGGGGAGCTCATTCCACCATCTTGGAGCCAGGACAGCAAACCCACGTGTTTTCGCCGATGGGAACTTGGGTCCCCCTCGCAGCGAGGGCGCAACGAGTCGTTTGGCTGATGCAGAGCGTAGTGCACGCGCTGGGGTGTACGGTTTAACCATGTCCTGGATGTAGGAAGGGCCAGATCCATTCGCAGCATGGTAAGCAAGTACCAGTGTCTTGAAGTGGATTCTAGCAGTTACCGGAAGCCAGTGAAGGGAGCGGAGGAGCGGAGTGGTGTGGGAGAATTTAGGAAGGTTGAAGACCAGACGAGCCGCTGCATTCTGGATGAGCTGCAGAGGTCGGATGGTACATGCAGGTAGACCAGCCAGGAGGGAGTTGCAGTAGTCTAGGCGTGAGATGACGAGAGCCTGGACCAGAACCTGAGTCGCTTTCTGAGTCAGCTGGGGACGTATCTTCCTGATGTTGTAAAGCGTGTATCTGCAACAACGGGTTGTAGCAGCGATGTTTGCAGTGAAGGACAGGTTGTTATCTAGGGTCACACCCAGATTCCTTGCAGTCTGAGTCGGGGAAACAATTTCTCTCAGGAATTGGTGGAGACCAAAAACAGAGCCAAAAGGCAGGACTCTCATTCCTCAGAAGGCCAAGATACAATTTCACATCAATGACAATGTTTGCCCTGTTACTGCCGGATGTGTAAATAAGCAACTGGTTGCAGGGGCATGTGGCACGGCCCACCCCTAAAATCTAAGGTAGAACTTCCTTTTTCAGTCTGGTGCCACTCTGTTGTCTTATAGTTTGAAGATCTGTTTATATGTTGCATGTTTTAAAAGTGTCTGTATATACTTTATGCTACAACATAAATTGGTACCCACTCGAGCTAACACAATCAAAAATGTTCGTAACAAATATATCAACTATAAAAAGGTATAATATGTGTGGCCCCAAGAGGCTAAAACAATCAGTCATCGCAGGTTAAAATAAAAATGAATTCTACAATATTTAACTCATGTTTATCAGTTTAATATATCAAAATTGACCAGTCTTGCAAGTTTAACTAGGAACGTAATGCATCCGTCTGGTGAATTTAGTTAAAACTAATATTTTCCTCTGAAATGTTTTGGATTAGAATCATAAACCCCCAAAGGGATTCATAAAATATCCTTTCTTCTTCATACTCTCCTTGTCTTGATTTCCCAGTCCACACACAGCATTGAGTATCAGTGTCTCAGCCAGCCAAGTAAGACTTTAGAGTTATCCTCGTTGAAATCTTCATATTAAATCACAATCCATATTATAAATCAGTAAAACAAACCCCAGAAACGTGTACAAACAAGTACTATGCTCATGCATGTCCTTTCGTGTGTTTTCAACATTTAGCTAGACAAACTTCCTTTTCCATTTATTTTCTCTGCGCTGTTCGGGCTTCCCTTTATTTCAGATATTTATTTTTGAGTGAGACCAACATGTTGTTAATCTCTCCCAGTCGCTGTGTGGAGTGTAATTTATTGTGTTTCCTCTTAACACCATGAGCTGACCCCAGCCATCCCCGTCAATAAAGATGCAGTGAAGGTGCCCTGTCGCTTTACAGCCAGTTAAATTACACTTTGATGTTGCCCCCTTATTTTCAACTGTGACTTAATAGCTGTCTGCTGTCTGACTCATACAAACGTCATTTTGGTGCTGATGTTCACATGGGAAGTTCCTCACCATGTTAATCAATGTTAAAATACACTTAATTTGACTTTTAAATATGTTTTTCTGAAGTGTTTCTGTGAATTTACTTTCTGCTGAACATGCTCTGTGCCCAGCAGACAAAGCTGCAGACTCTCCTCTCTTTCTACAATTAATCATCAAAGTTTATTTATACAGCCCAATATCACAACTTTTACATTTGTCTTACATTTTCTTCACTAAAACACAATCATTTTAACATATTGTTGTCCACTGCAGAGAAAAAAGGCCTTCTGCTGCAGCTCCAAAACGTATTGTTGGCATATTTATCTGAAAATAAATTTCATTTGGTTGGTTTGTCGTGTTATTTGGGACACATAAAGACAATACATGCGGAAGTGCAGGTGTAAACTATCTTTTGTCCAATAAAGGAAAAAGCTATTTGTACTCATGGACAATGAGATAGAGGTTTTAACGCAGAGTATGTTTTTCATAGTCACTCTGTCCACAGAGATGATATCCTGACAATAAGACTCTCCTATGCTCTTCGTACATATGGTGTTCCCTACAGGAGGGCCCACTGCTGTTCACCTTAGGAACTGATGGTGATCCTCACAGCTACGGCAGATCGTATGGATAACAAGCTAGAGATTGTCACAATATCCCACTCCTGCCAAAAAAACATCAGTGACATGCGATGTAAACAATGGTCTTTGATCAGAGCGAGGCCTCATGATTCCAAACAGCCTGACAGCTCTTGCCTTGTGGGGACCGTGGGTGCCAGCCAGGGAAATATGATGAAATAACTAGAGAGTATTTATGCTGGGATAAAACACATTTGATCGCTTCAAGCCTAACAGGATGTGTTAGTCACGGACAGCGAGGCAATGTTGCGACCGTTAGACCCCCTGCAAGCAGTCTAACACAAACACATCTTCAGCTCGAGTCCGTTTCTGTAACATCTGCAAACAACTCAGAAACAAGAGCCACGGTTCTCAGAGCTGAAATAGAATTCAGACTGTAACTCAGGTTTTGCTCTCTTTTTGCAAGAATAAGACAAAATGAAATAATTTCCTCAAATGTATTTAACGATAGGCTTTTGCATGCTCAGCTCTCCCACAACCACAAACAGGTCTACACAACAAAAAAATGCAAAATAAAAAAGCTATATTTGGTTAATTCTATCACTCTCCTTTTGTTACATGCACATACATGTATTTGTAGTTGTACCTTTATCAACATTATTTGGTACTATAACTCGTGAAATATCGTGTTGACAAAAAGATGCACTTTAATATAAACGTTTGCGCATATGTCTGTGAGGAGAGTCTTTCACACGATATCTATTCACCTCACCTCGCAACACATGACCCAACATGGCTCTGAGTTGCAGATCACTGGGTGTGTGTTTTTGTGTGTGTGTGTGTGTATATTTGTGAGATCTTCTGTGCTGACTGAGTGCTGAGAAGTGCACTCAGAGCTCACATGACCGCACACACCTCTTGGTTCTAACCTGACAAATGTTTGGACGAGCAGATGAGCAGAGTCGCCTCGATCCTGAAAATAACTTCACCTCAGTTGGTGTAAAAGGAACAGAAAACTGCAGGGCAGTGAGTTGCCACCAGACTGAGCCAGAGAGAGAGGGGGCCTCATTACAGCCTGAAAATAAAGACTTTCAAGCATCACATCCTCTTCAATTTGAATATGTATTAATCCAAAGTATAAACTGGTTAGTTCAGTAAAGGGCAGCAGCAGGGCGAAAGGAGCTGCCAGCTTCTACAAAAACACTGGCAGAGACACTGCTGTGGAAATTTATGATCAGAGAGCTGCCTGAGGTTTTACAGTTAATCCGCAGATGTGAAGAAAGCAAGTGTGTTTGTGTCAGAGAGAGACAGAGAGAGTACAAAGACAGAGCTGTCTCTTCTTTCGTGGTTAGAAAATGCTCCCCGACAAATTAATTGCAACAGTCTTGCTGCCAGGTGACTTTGCAGCCACATAGTAGACCTTAACCAAATGCAGGACATAGTGAAAGTGTGCATGTGTGTGTGTGTGTGTGTGTGTGTGTGTGTGTGTGTGGTGTGTGTGTGTGTGTGTGTGTGTGTGTGTGTGTGTGCGTGCGTGTGGTTAAAAAAATGCAATGTTCTGTAATTCTCGCATTATGGGCGCGGGTGTCAGTTCCCCGTCACATCCCAGAATGATCTACGAACTACAACTGGAGACTGTAAGCAGCCAGTGATCCAGGCCATCCATTACACAGGCAGAAACAGACAAACAAATCGACACACACTCAGCATCGCGAGCCAGATTTCACAACTGTCACAGAATTTCCTCACAAAGAGCGAGAGATTCCTTTGTCCCACCCCATCAGACTCCATGAATTACTATGCTGATCCTACAAATAAATCACAAGTATTGAATATACTGCCAGAGGCAAGAATATTACCAGGGGGTAGAATAAAGGGCTTGATGCAAATGTTTTAAATCTGTCAAAAGCATTCAATATGGAAAGTAATTACAGAACGATGAAAAAGGCCCACAGTGTAAATCCTTTTTCCCTGCTTATGTCACTCATGTTTTCACATTTGATGAATCCACAGCATTTTTATTTTAAAAACTCTATTTCCCAGAAGGTTTTTAGTCACACATTTTGGCTTATGGACAGATAGTACTGAAAAAAGCCAGTTTCAATATGTTTTACACCAAAAGGAGGGAATTGTGGATCTTTGAGGTCGGAATATTAAAAGCTTTCCTTGCATACTTTTATTGTTTTATTAATTTTAAGAATCCCCACACATGGCTTAAATCAGGTAACGCTGCATTGCAGACTAAATCTTAAAGAATAGCAGCATAACATAAAGCATTGCATGCATATCTTTGTGTACATGTTTTGACTCATCATTTCAATCCTGATAAAATATCAAAAAGAAACATATTTTAACAGTGTTCCTTACCTTCCTGTCATTGCAGGTAAGGACAGTTCCGGCCTGACAGACTCTGACTTGGCTCCGGACTCAGACCCTCCTGGAATGGACACCAGCTACCTGTCTCCGAAGGATCAGGGCGGGAAGCCGGCCTCCGATCGGCCTCCAGGCACAGAGTTAAGCCCTATGGACAAAGGAGATGGGGCCGAAAGCAACAAGGGCAAGAAAAGGCGAAACCGCACAACCTTTACAAGCTACCAACTGGAAGAGCTGGAGAAGGTTTTCCAGAAGACGCACTATCCTGATGTTTACGCCCGGGAGCAGCTGGCACTGAGGACGGACCTGACTGAGGCCAGAGTGCAGGTAAAGCAGGACACTCAACAACATGACATGTATAGCTATAAGCAATCTAAACATCAACTAACAAGCAGAATTGTATAAAAGACTGAGGATCATTTAAAAGACAAACAATTTGCAAAAACATGCTGTCATATCAATGAGTGAAGAGCTCTTTGTTACAGCACAACAGGGGATGTTTTAAGAACACATCCTCATGGACCCTTCAACATCTGCAGTTCTGCCGAGATAACGTCACTCTCAGAACAACATGAGAGATATATATCTGGTAATGTGGGAGTCAAGGGGAGAGAGAGTGGGGGAGTGGGAGCTAACAGAGGCCAGGGGGCCCATGGGGCTGAGGTTGGAGCTGCCTGGGCCTCATATGTGCAGTTTTAGGAGAGCTTTGCAGACTTTTATCAGCATACGATGAGACTGCTGTATGTGGATGCGAGCGTCTCAATGGCCTTTTTCTTTGTACCTGAGCTGTTTTGGTTTTCTGTATTTGTGACTTCAGTTTAGCCAGTCTTAGTCGAGCATCAGGCGTACATCCTCTCAGTTTGAAAACCGTTGAGTGACTTTCTGGCCTGATTTACATACAATCTGGTCATGACTGCTGTAATGCCCTCAAAAATTGATGAACAGAGAACGAGACCTCCAGCATTTCTGAGTGGTGTATGTGTGTGTCTATGTGTGCATGTGTACGTGTGCACCACAGACTACCAAAGCCCCTGGATTTGCTGTGTTTTTCTTTCATTAACATCCCGTTCAGACAAGAATGTGTTCCTGCTGTGGTGTCCCGGGTAGGTGTGAAACCCTTCCTGTGAACTTTGAGTTAGCGACTGATATTTCAAGTCATATCAAATATTTGTAGGTAATTTTAAGGCACGATCGTTTTTGATTAAACTCATGCAAGGGATTTATATTTTCACTACATTTTTGTTCTATACCAGTTCAATATTTAGGGGATGAGATAAGAGCACGATTGAAAGCAATCTTTTACATGACAAGCTGGAACAGTGACCAGCAAAGCTTTGCAGTGAAACACAGGAAGTCTGTGCAGCCGCAGGGTTATAACTCAACCCTGAGGCTCTGTAGGTATGCCGCTCTGCTCTGAGGCTCACACTATCACAGACCTGCCTGCTTCAGATGGATGCAGCTTTACAGCCCTTGGCTCTCCCAGCGGCCCTCTTAAACACTCAAGTTAAAAAAGATAAAAGACACAAGATGCCTAGTCAGTCAGAGAACAGGGCTCTGTACTATATTCAAGGCATTCACACGCAAAAAGACTCACAGATCATGAATTCTGTGTCTGGAGTAAAGGAAACGTTAAAAAACGTTTACTGCTGCTCAAAAGTTAACCTTAACTTTTAAAATATACAAGCATTTTTATTTAAATGATTAAAAAAATAGCTAAGGCACTTGACGGCAATATTACACCTCATTGTCTGAAGGTTCTCACGCAAAAAAACAAGGGACGTTCACTGGAAGAACGTTAGGGTCTGGAGTTGTTTGCTTTTTCAGTCTTTGGGTTTCAAAGGGAGAAAAGTAAGATCAGATCAGAGTCATATTCACTACAGATACACGGGAAGGTCAGGGGTCAGGGGTCGGGGTTTCAACAACATCACATTTCTCAGACTCTCCATTCGGTTAGCCCAGAGATAGAGAGCTGAGATGGCATCTGACATGTGGAGTCCACCGGCAAACACAGGTGTCCAAATGAGATTCAAGGCACAAAGAGTTAACAGTGGACAAAATGGCATTAAAACTAGAATGATCACGTCTGTCACTTTATATATACATCAAAACGTTTCCTAAACTATGAAGGGTAAGGAGTCACCACATAAACTATCCATTATTTGTATAAGTCCGGCTGCCAAAACCATTTGTCAAATTAATGGGTTTGATTAATTGATCACTCAGTAAACATAATAGAAATTGAGTCATATTGCCATAATCAATTAATCACTTCAGTCATTTTACTAGAAAATAATCAGAATACACCCTTGTTTCACTTTCTTAATTAATAGGTAAATATTTACATTATTAGACGTTAAACAATTCCTCAAAGAATACTTATTCAAACTGTTAACAGGTTTATTTTTCTCTTTTTTCCATCACTCCACTGGTGTCCTGCACTCACCTTCAACTGACATGGGAAATAAGAAATGATGTGGTAGTGTTCTGGGGAAAAAGAACAAACTTAGATTTAATGAACAGCAACACCGGTCAGAGGTGTTTCCATGATAGTATTAGTGCTTTGGGGGTGTTGGGAAAGCGAAGCCAGGCTCAGCCTTGGAGTTCTTTTTACTTTGGTATGGAAGCTGACATGAGTGACAGCAGAGGCGGGTTATCAATCCTCTGAGCCGCTCTCTCACTTCAAAGTGTTTTCAGCCCCATACAGCTCTCCTGCTGGGGCCAGTTTGGCATTTCTCTGCCCTCTCTCTCTCTGGGGCTGAAACATAAATAAAGCCTCATTGAAGGTCTACCAGCTACTTAAGCTGTCATAGTCTTTACCAATTACTGTCACAACGCTGTGTGTGCGACACAAAAATATGTTCTCTCTGTTTAATACACAGCAGACTTGGCATTAAGCATACAGTGAGCAGATGAGAGCTGCAGAGATACCTTACAAAAGCATCTTATTGTATAATTATCATACATCAATATTTATTAGAGAAACACAGTGATCTTGTGTTGGGTTTTTGGCCCTGAGAGTAAAGGAAGAAGTATGAAATCATCAAAGAGGAAAGGATTACGACCTCTAGTCTGTGTGCTTCTTTAATTTAGGAGCAGAAACATCTCAAAGCCAGGAGCTTTCGGCCTCAGGAAATTAAAATTGAAAATGCAAACAAACCCGTTACTATCGCATCTCACTTTTCAATTCCCATATTTCCTCATTAGATTTGTCAGCGATGAGAGGATAATATGAAGAAGAGAAATCCTATAAGGAAGAAGTCACACAGGGAGAGTTATTTGTTGCAAAAACTCAGCAAGGTCAGGAAGGAAGAAAAAAGCAGAAAGAGTAAGAGTTGTATAACACACCTTTACATTTTGACATTTGAAGAAAAGCATGTCAGGTTAAAGCCCATCAGTATTTAGATCAGTCTGATGGTCAGTTAAACACAATAATGCTTACAATAAACAAAAGCGTCAGCTTTCGATGTCAAATATGATGATAGGAAACATGAGTCATGAGAAAAAGTCCTGCTCTTGTCAGACAACAAATAAGCAAAGTTGATAGGCACTAGGTCTGTTTACATTTGTTTAGAGGTCCTCAGTAAAGTGAAGGTTGCAGCACAATGTTTATAAAGGTTATTTCCCCCCTTTCTTTTCTTTCACTTTTTTCAGCCTAAACAGACTAACATCTTTATTTCCATCTCAAAATGTAGCAGCATAAGTTCACAGTTTGATGTGCTGAAATCCTTTCTGATTTTCAACCATTCAGTTTCCTGCAGTGCTGCATGGTATCGTGTTTAAGAGAAACGTCGATGTTTATCTATGGAAGAGTATTTCCTTAAGACTCAGGGGAAACTTCCTGTCGAAGCATATAGCTTTACGGGTACGACAATCCATCTTGCTTTCTTTGAATTCAAAACTCGCTTTTACCCAACGCAAAGACTGAATCTTTTTCTAGAGCAAAGTAAAGACGCCTTGTTCTTCAAGATACATTTTTTTTGACAAACCTGCAAGTGAGGTGACATTCAGACGTTTTCTCTCTGCAGGTGTGGTTTCAGAACCGAAGGGCGAAGTGGAGGAAAAGAGAGCGTTTTGGTCAGATGCAGCAGGTCCGAACACATTTCTCAACAGCTTACGAGCTTCCTCTTCTGACTCGTCCTGAGAACTATGCACAGGTACAGAAAGAATAAACACTTCACTTTTTATCTACCCACACATACTTTCACATTGGATTGTACTGCAGTTTTGAACATTTTAAGTTGATTTCTGTTGTATTCAATAATTTATTTTTTTATTTTGAGCAGTAAACTTGTATAACACAAGACAAAGTGAATAGCCTGAACAACCAATATAGTGTGTTTAGTTATGTAATTTTTTAACAATGTTCATATCCATATTTCAGATTCAGAACCCCTCTTGGATCGGTGGCAGCAGCGCAGCATCTCCCGTGCCGGGCTGCGTTGTGCCCTGCGACTCTGTGAACGCCTGTATGACCCCACACCCACACTCTGCCAGCGGGATGTCTGATTTTCTGGGCATGCAGAGTCCTGGAGGTCATGTGGGACAGGGTCACATGGGCAGCCTGTTTGGAGGGCATCCTGGCATGGCTTCAGGCATCAACACGTACGATCTGAACATGGACCCTGACCGCAAGTCCTCCAGTATCGCCGCTCTGCGCATGAAGGCCAAAGAGCACAGTGCAGCCATATCCTGGGCCACATGATGTGTATACCTGCTGGATGGGGTGACCTAGTGGACCCTCAAGAGTCTATTCAATCCCAGCATGGGGTGAGGGGACACTATAATCAAAAACTCAAAAGGCAACAGTGACTACCTTCATAAATGTTGCAATGAAATAATTATTTTAGTACTTGGATGGGTGGAGATTACTCCTAGAGAGAACATCAAGAGATTTGGTAATATAAGTGGGGGGGGGGCCATGGCTGTGCAGGTGAGCTTGGTGGAGAGATGCTCTACTGTATAACAGGAGTGGCAATGTAGTTCAGATGATCAGATGCCGAACATGTTAGAAATAACAACTTCAAACAAATCCATGCACTTATTTGCTAAAATACAGGAGAGTGTGTACAGGGCTTTCAGTGTCAGCGTAGTTCTCTGTTCAGGTGCTGTTTTATTCTTATCTTATTATTTAAATGTTGAGTGTTATTTTTGATTTCTATTGTTACCGTTTTTTTTGTGACAAAAAGTTCAGCAAGCATCTCTGGAAGCTAAACTGAGAATATAAAATAGTTGTTTTCTGTAATTACAAGGCTTTTTTATTATCAGCAAAAGCACATTACTTCAGTAACACTGAGGCTGTGGTAGTGCTCATATCAAGCATCTGTTACAGCATACGGCTTTTCAGATTCAAAGGAAACATTTCTGTTGCTAAACAAGCTACAAGGGCCTCCACCCTCCAGCATTTAAAAGTCAAACAGATGAAATGTGGTTTGTTTTAGTGTGATCAGGGTGAGAGATCCACCTGCCGCACTGACTGAGCCTGCTGATGGCAGGGAGAGGAAGGGATGGAGGAGGAAGTGGTGAGTGGGAGCAGGAGAGGGGCACAGCAGGCCTGCTGCTCTCAGGGCTGAAGAGCCTGGGAGCGCCAGCCTCCAAACAGAGCCGCTCTGTTTCAGGAAGACAAACTCCAAGTGGACATGACTGTACCCCTTTGCATTTAGTCTCAGGAGTTTAGAGGAGAGAAGTGCCTACTAGTCAGTCATTCTGCCAGAAATAACAGCGAAACCAGCAGCAGCCACCTTTGAAACAGAGGAGACTGGTGGAGATACAGAGTGTGTTGACACTTTTAACATTGAAAGGATGTCTGTGTTTGACTGTCATGGCACACTGGTAAATATTGATAAAACAGCTCTGCCGTAAGCGTTAATGTATTTATTTCCCTTTTTCTGTCATTATATCTGTCAAATCAAAACAAGTCCTCCTTCTGACACCATGACATCCACATTTTCCACAAAAAAGCATGTATTTGTTCAACATACTGCTAAATGATTTAAGATGACAGTATTACATTTTAGTGACACAACAGTAAGACTCAAGGGGATCAGGTAGCATCCTGGTGTAGGTATACTGGCTGACTGCATAAAGATATATACAATTGACCTTCATTGATCCCTGTAGGGAAATTCAGTGGGATGTGAGCACTCTTCTTAAAGGCAACATGGGCCGGACAGCTGGGGCTAACCAAAAACATATTTTAGAGTTCCCGAAGACACGAAAACAGTCATGAGATAGTGTGCCATTTTTTGGCGCTTTATCTGAGCAGGATCTCTTTTAGTAAACCACCAACGTGTCACCGTGTCAGGGAATCCTGGTTACAGCCATTATTCCCCGTTTACTTCTATCTAGGCTTAGAACAATATGTCTGTTTGTTTGTGTTCTCCGTGGGGAGAAAAGAGGGGGCGAATCAGAGATGAGCTCTGAGCGCACATCATACCCATATCATGCAAATATTCAAATAGTTGACCTTGCTTTCCCCCTGGTAACGGTGACAGAAATAGCTGATGATGTATGCCAATGAGGTTATGCTTGTTCTTCCTTTGTTAGCAAGGCCTGATTTAGGCGGAACAAAGGGTTATAAGCAAACCTGATACTGTGTAGTGCCCCTTCAGGCTGAGCAACCATCGCTAATTCTCTAAACTGAACCACATTCCCTGCCCTTCTGGGCATGTAAGAGAAGTGGGGTTCAGGCTCTAACCTGTCATCAGAGCAGATCACCCCAGAGTCCTCCAAATTACATCCAGTTCTACTCTCCGACCCAAATCCAAGGCATATGCATAATCCTGTCTTTAGAGTACATATCTCTGACTTAAACTGAGAGAGTCTCCTTGCAATTGTGGACATGGGGGCCCCCTGTCTCTAGCTGTGGGGTTGGACGGAGGGCGAGCCGCGAGGGCGTCTGCTGTGTTCCGGTGTTCTGGGAAAAGGACAGTGCACACAGCTGCGCTCAGGGGGTAAATGCAAAACAAACATGGCTCACACATGCTTCCCCCTCAGCTGTCATGGCTCTGCTTTCAAAGACCCCCCCTCCTCCTCAATACACACTGCTCTGGCTCTCTCCCTTTGCTAACAGTCCACTGCCTCAAAGCTGCAGCCCCCGACTCGCAGGGTCCGAGGCACAGCCGCACGGCCAGCCCAGGAAGGCTTTTTAATTAACACTGAGCCATGTGGAGGCTGTGGACTGCAGGATTGTGTGTCAGGACAGACAGGCCCGTCTGTCTTCTGGTTTAATGCAGACTGTTGCTCTGCGAAGTGCACAGACATACTAGCTTTCAGTAGCTCAGGTTTACACAATACATACTCACTCTCTTCTGTGTATTGAAATGCATTGTTTTTGGACTGAAATATTTTCCATGATGTCATCTTCCACCATGAACCTCAGACACCCTCAACCTACTGGTCCTGCACACACACGGGGACAGTTAATGCAAGAATACAAAACAGCCTCTCTCCGTCATGAATGCTGCATAACTAAATCCCTGAGTGATGAAGTCATCGTTCACTTTTTGTCATTTTCTAATACTACTGAAGTCAGACAATCAGTATAGGAGTAAATATTTTTAAAATATGCGTGCTGTTGTGTGCATGTACATTTTTGAGCATGCAAAATTAATTGAAGTGTTGTAAGACTCTTGGAAAGGTTACTAATTAGTTATGTTTTATTTTTGTGAGAGTTCAATGCCTATTTGAGTGTATCACTTTTTTTATTTGGTGGTAAAATTGTACTTCCAGAGTTGTGTTTAAACAGTCTTTCGATATGTATTTCTGAGTTTCAAATGTGTTATTTTTTTCAAGTTCATGCGGCTTTAAGCTGTCTTTTGAAGTGTATGAATTTACTCCTGCTTGTGTTGTGTGTGATTAAAGTACAATAAGTTATTGCACTCCTATTCAGAGTCAACCTTTGTGACGCAATGTCATCAAATGTAGAACATGCTTTTCAAGGATAAAATAGAAAAAGACTATAGAGGACAGAAGGTAATGGTGGTTTCCTCCAGCTGTTAACACACCAATACAACTCTTCTGCAGTGTTTAGAGATCGCTCAAGTCTCTCTCGGTATAAAGAAAAGCCTTTCAAGTCATCAGTTAAAGACACTGGTAAGCCACAACCTGGGAATAAGTTGCCTGTTATTAAGAAAAACAGTATTGCATTGCAGCACCCTGCCAAAATAGTGTGTCACCCTTTAGTCATTCTGAAATCCTCATGCATTTCAAACCCTTTGAAGAGACACGAGTGCTGAAAGGAGATCGCGCAACTCGCAAGAGTATCACACTAATTGAAGTTGACAAAAATACGAACTGCGCCCTTTTGAACTGCTGACATTGAACAGGGAGGATTAGGCTGCGTATATTAACAACAGGTGACAGGCTGAGGGAACAGAGGATCGGCTCTGCACGGTCACAGATGGGAGTACAGACGCACATGAAAAGGAAGGAATACGTTTGACTTCATTGTCTTCCCATAAATAGATGGAAATGTTAAGCAAAACCGAGAGACGTAGTAGTGTAGTCTTTACTAATCATGTATTACAAAGTCATAGATGAACCATTTTGAACAATTTCACTGACATTGTGAAAATGATATTAATAAAAAAGGCAAATAAAACAATCACAAGGCAATGTTTTCAAGGTTAAAGCCTAAATACTACTACTGATGAAAAGGAAACAAATATAAAAACACACAGAATATAATGAAAAAATACAAACAAAGCATTGCCGGTAATACATTTTGAAAAGTGTGGATTTGGAAATGTTCAACTATTCACAATACACTATGTGTCTTCAAATGCAAACAATAAGTACTCCTATACTTATGCAGCGTTCATATGCATAACTCATGAAGCCCATGAAATTACCTTCAATTAGCACCACTGCGTTTTTGCATATATATATATATATATATATATATATAAATAAAACGAAAGGGTTGCACAGGCAATAAAACAATACAATTCAAGATGTTCCAGTAGCTCTGCATCAGTGTTTTTAAATCAGCAGTTACTCACTCTAAATATTAGATTTATTGTACCAGCTTTGTCTATAGTTGTATATGGTATGTTATTCAATTAACTGTTAAAGAAACCCTACATTGATATGTCGTTGAATCATTTACTATATACCATGTTCATTTAAAATGGTTTCCTTTTAATACAGGACAGCTACAAATAATAAGGTCCATGTTATCTTTTGAAAAGAAGAAGAAAATGTCCAAGTTGGAGCATCATTAATTATAACTATGATACAGCTCTGGTGCAAAATAAACATATATACACTGTACACTGATTCCAGAGCAGCTGGAGCCAAAAGTCCAAAACAGTAACAGTGAGGGGCCGAAAGCCTACAGTCGGACTGTCCATCAAACATCAGACTCAAGGTGACCCTCCATGTAACATTAGTCTATGCACTTGTATTACTAAACGTTTAAAAAATACTTTGAAACCAAATAAACAAATCATTGTCATCCACATCCCCGTATTACAGTGTCCTAACTTAATGTTCTGTTCAGTTCTGTCTTTAAAAATATATTCAAAAATCAAAGTAAAAGCGTCTTTGACTGAGGGGTGACACTTTGATCTGAATATTGATGTTTGGATATAAAAGTTGGTGACACATGTTGAAGTGTTGACGTGCCGGTCAGAGGCTGCCGATGTTGGGGAAGCTCTTGAGCTTCTCGGGGAAGTCGTCTTTGTAGAGCACCGGGTCCGCTCGGTGTTCCACCACCTTCAGAGGCATGGTGCCAAAGACTGATGCAAACTTGTTGATGCACTCAGATCTACGGACGGAAACATAACTCATTTACTTTAAAAGAAGGCGAACATGTATTTAGTTAGTAGCTATGGATTAGTCAGGTTAGCAAATTATTTAAATGGATGAATGGAGTTAAATCTGTCTTTCCTTTAATTTTAAGGTGCCCATCTTCCTCAAATACTTTTAATCTTTTTTATTTTATATATATATATTTGTTTAAATCTTGCCATTTATCTTAGGTGTTTATTTAAGCACAGCTCACAGAACTTGCCTATGTACAAAATGTGTTGGACTTCAAATAAATAATTGCATCTGCTTATTAATAATTGGAGAAAAGTTCAATAATGAAGCCGTTTTGTCGTGTATTTCACGGTTCAATTCTGAGATTATTAATATCATTTTTAAAGGAGCAGAAAAACATAATTCAGGTTGTTGTGTTTCCTGCTACAAAAAGACATGGCAGTGTCACGGTTCTGTCACATGACCAAAATGCAAGTTAAAGAAAGATGCAAAATACATTTTAATACGAATTAAATGTGATTTTAAATATTTAGAAAGAAACAATGAAACGCTCATGCACACATTGGACGGTTAAAACAAGATCAATAAACAAAGATTTTACCGAGCTTATTTAATCAACAATGACTTCCAAACAAAGTGCCATACCTCTCCACCATGTGCGTCTGATCCAGGGACAGTCCATCAATGGCAGTACACTCAGGGCACTTGAACTTCTTCCTGGGGGTCACCTAAACAGAAGCAGAACAAAGTCACATCAATAATTAACTTAACAAAAATGAGCAGCCCAGACACGTATTAACAAAGTCTGTAACATCCTTCAAGAACTGTTGTTAAGCACAACAACTGAACTCTCATCAGTGGAGTTGGAGAGAGATGTGATGTATGGCTTTCCTCTGTCTGACCTCCATCACATCTACACCCCCGACACATGCCTGCACCAAACGCTGTGGACCTGTGAATGGATGTGTGTGTTGAAGAAAGCGAAAGACACCGAGACAGGCAGACAGAATGGGTTGGTAGGAGAGGCTGGGTGGAATCTGATGGAGATATGGTGGGAGGATGGAGCGTGGGTGCGGGCGAAGGAAAGTGAGCAGCTTGTGATTTGATGGCAGGGTGTGCGTGAGCCCCGGTGAGCTTAGAAAAACATACTCAGAGGGGGAGTGCCAGTGAGTGACACCCAGATAAGGGAGGTTAAGGCTGGGCTTTAGCTCGGGCCCCTGCACCTGGGCACAGTGAGTGTGATGGGGAGGGGGAGAGGCGGGGAAGTCAGAGGGTGAGAGCTGATCAAACCCAGAGATGCTGGTGCGCTCTGTCAGGCTGCAGCCCCCCTGAAAGCACCCGGGCCCAGACCCAGGAACGTACCTTGATGGGGGCTTTGCCCGTGATGTTAGCCACCAGGAAGTTCATGGCAATATCCTCACAGTTCATGTGAGCGTCCACCCAGTTCTTGATGTCTCCCGGCATCTTGTATGTGTACAAATAGTTGAAATACTGGAATGGAAACAGATTCACTATTACTAGGTGTCATAAAGATATACAGCAGACTCATTATTTACAATAATGCAGACACTGTTTGACACGGTGACCCAAGAGTTTGTAGGAGGAACCCATGCACTAGAATCTGCTTTGAACTTAAGTGAGCATTTGAGCTTTAAAGTAGAAATGAGATAACCTTGCTCTACCTATGACATGCTGCTCTTCCATCATTGTAATCTTCTTTTCTAAAATCCTACACATACCCAAAACAGAAGTCCACAGGATATTCTCAAATCCTTTCAGTAAACTTAATTTACAATTCACACATAAAATTGAACATTTCCTTTTCAAAACGTGCTCTGTGTGCATCATTACTATTCTAAATGGCTAACATCCATGAGAAGCTTCAAGGGAAATGTGTGTGTGAAGAGGCAGAGCTCAAGCAGCTAACACTTCTTCATGTCCAGGTCACCTTGTGGTAGAAGGCAGCTCCAGTTAGCACCATGGAGACCTCGTTGGTCCACTCCGACTCGTACTTCCACTTCCCCATTTCATGGTCCCATAGGTGCAGCCGGCCTGGGTAACCCACCAGCCTGTCTGGGAACTCCCTCCACACCTGGAGGTGGACAGGAAACAGATTGTCAAACACAACATGAATGAGTAAGTTCTAAAGAGAGTTTAAGAAACAAAAATGCAGTTTAAAATGATCTCTGAAAACCTTTATCAGAACAAAATAAATCCCATCTGGTGGTCAAATTAACACTTCCTTTTTGGATTGAAGTGGCTTTTTGATTGGCTGAACGTCTCAGGCTGCCAGTTGGATTATCTGGGCAGACAGACAGCTCCTCTATGCTGCCTGTAATTCTCTGTAATTATCCTTAAACTGAGCACAATTTTATTAAATGGCTTCTAAATGGATTCAGGTGAGTGTGCTGCACTAAGTGGGGCCCGGCAGGTATGTGGGCATGGAAAGCATCAGCACTCGACCTGTCATCATTCTTCACACATCAAACACATCCAGCAGGCAGTCCAATCCCAAACCATTGGAGAACCAGACTGTAATCTCCCTGAATGACTTTAAACTCTGGGCTCAGCTTTAAATGGTTCCTTGCAATATGTTTTGGAGAAAAGATGGGAAAGTGTGGTCAAGGTTTTTTTTAAAAAGGGGTTATTTTTCTCACCTCATAGCCAAACTGCAGTTCATCAGATGTCAGCATGATGATGTCATCATCAATCGCCAGCACGGCTTCTGTCTCGATCTCGTCGTAGGGGAAGAAGCGATTACTCAGCTTGTTTTCTTTGGTTCGCACAACTTTGAGAGGAACGCCGATTTTTGGCCAAAGAGACTCTGCCAGGAGGAAAACAATACAATAAGAACAACGGTACTCACTGTGTAATATACAGATGGAGATAAGACGGAGAAAAACATAAAACACAAAAAATATAAAAATACACTATGTATTTGTTTATAGACTTATATATTAAACATTTATATAAACAGTATATGACACTTAAATACATTTTTAAGAGCTAAACAACATTTTTAAAACATGGCTACTGTCAGTGTCTGGAGATGGGTGAGGAATTGTGATGTCATTAACCACTGACGGAGATATTTGAAATCCTGCCAGTGGAAAAAAGTGATCTGGGAATTTTACTTCACTCACTGACTCGTATCGCTACGCTAACCTCAAGCACGTGCAAATCCAACCACACTACAATTCTTCATGAGGCAGATTAAAAAAGGGGAGCGTTTCAAAGATCTTGGGCAGCGTCCATGGCACGGACTACGGCCCAGACGGATCACAGAGAATGTGTCCCCTCATTAATGGGCTAAGTGGGGCCTGGCAGACTATGAGAAGAGCTCCAGGTTCTCATAACCACGTCTGAGGTCTCCTGTCAGAAGCTATTGTCAGGAAAAGTGCTATGTTAAACACTCCGTTTATTCTTTCCCTCTGTCACCATTACTGTGATCCCTTCTTTAAGTTGGAAAGAGACAGACCAAGTGAAGGATTTATAGGCTATTATCGGAATTTCAAAACTTCAGCCCTGTGAATTAATTTTAAACATACTCATAATGTCTTATAATGGTCTTCTAGCACTGAAAAGTTATAGTTATGAGCATTCGTACATGTTTATAGTCTGACCCATCAATGGCCCCTCGTTAATTCCATCGGGTCACAAAGCTCCAGCCAGGCGCCGCTGATGCCTCTAATGAAAAGGCAACTCACAGCCACCAGGGAGCACTTCAAAGTCACCTCATTACTTCATTACATTATCCAACTCTACAGCAGCAGATTTCATTCCTAGTCCAGAGCAGTCTGAGCTACGCAGTCAGTGAACGAAAGCAGGATTAACTGTTTTATACTTAATAGCCTTATTAAAAAGGCAAATAATTACAGCGCAAGGTGCAATAAATAACAACTAATAAGAGCCTGCTATGAAACATCTATGATGGATTATACCTCAAGGTGAACAGTAATGAAAGACATAAATAAAAAGTGTATACACACTATATCTTTTGGAAAGCTTAATGAACTTTTGGGGTTTTTGATGAGCGTTGGTCGCACTCACCCTCAGGAGGACTCTTGTTCTGGTTATTCCACACAACCAGCAGTTTAGCCAAGCTGGGCACCTTGGAGATTTCTGTGATGACACGGAATAGACTCTCCACACGATCGTAGGTCAGCACCACCGCTGTGAAGCCAGGGGCCCTCGGGGGGATAAGTGGCAAGAACAGAGGGCTGTTCACGCTGGACCACTTCTACACAAGACGGGAAACAAAGGAAAACACGCCGTTAGGGCCACAAACTTATTTTTTATTCAAATGTTGGTATTTCCATGAAGAGCTACTGTAGAGCTAGCCTCGTGTCTTGAGTGTGAACCCTGTCTGTCTGTTTTCCATGATTTAATGCTCTATAATGGGGCTTTACTGGAAGGTGAGGTCACCTGCAGTCATTTCCAGGTTATGTTTTTTATTCTGGAGCAAGAGTCATCCAATAACGTCTCTTAGCACCTCAGAGGCAGAGCCCAGGATGCCAAAGGGTTCAGTCACATTGCCAAGTAAACCAAACTGAAAAATAGCAGTACAGAGGTACAAGGAACACTGGGAAGGAGTTTGCAAACAACACAGGTTGGCTCCACTGCTGTGTCAACTGCTCTTGTGAGATATTATGACGAGTAAAATTGCGTGGGATAGAGAGGAGGAAGGGGGGGAAATGAGAACAGCAAGAGGTGGCCATCTTTCACCAACGTGGAACTTGGCTTTTCTTTCATTGCTCCCCTTTTAAACAGCTTGTAAACCCTGGAAGCCGCACTGACTCCAGCTCAGATCAAGTGACCCTGTCAAATGAACGAAGCAACAGGAACATTTTGTGTTCTTAATACTTTAAACATTGCAGTAATTTGGATAACAGTCACACCAAATGAGGGACAACAAGTGTTTTGTGGGAAACCAATTACTTGTGTGAGTGGTATACAAAGGTTGTTTTTATATATTTAAATAAAAAGACAATTTATTTTTATTTTATTTATAACCACGTGCGGGCGGCTCTTACACCAAATGAAGGAGCACCATGGTTCACTCTTGATCAAATTCATCAAAGGCACAGACAATTTTCCACCCTGGTTACAGTGACACCCAGTCTGAAGAGGGCACATACAGTAGAGCTTATCTTAGACAGTACATCTGTGGGTTTCTTGAAGTACTTCTATAAAGTGTGAGTCTCTTCTGGGCCCAGGTGGCCACACAGTGATTCTGTGGCTCCTTCTACAGCACCAACAAGAGTCTGTCAGCAGAAATACAGCCACTGCTATTACACAACATCAGTCACTCCTCCACCAATAATAAAAATCACTTTACTGGCAAGTGGAAACTTCCTTGTGGTCATTCTCACATTGTCAAACAAGCAGAGGGGGAAATAATTAAAGTAACGCATCTAGGCAGCACAGAAGCATTTAAACAGTATTAAAGAGGTTAGAGACCACTTAAGTCATTTGTCAAACTGGATAAATTAGATGAAAAGAAAGCCGCAGCTCCTTATGTCACCAACAGATCTCAAGGGGTGGTGTGCTAAAAACGTTACATTTACATAAAAAAGAAAGATGAATTGTATCTGGCTATTGTAACTGCCTAATTGGTTCTTCATTCATCTAAGGGTTACATGGATTTCAAGTGAAAATGAAGAACAACCAATATTCAAATCATTTGTATGTGTTTCCTATCTGTTTATCTGTAGAAACATTCCCAATAAAACATATAGATATGTTGTTGTTACATGATAAAACAAGTATTACTGATGTCTACAGATGCAGAGAAATGTAATCATTTCAATGTATGGCTGAAAGAAGCAATCAACAAAGTTGCAACACCAGATACAGTATTAGTAATTAGTATTAAGACTTGTTCTAAATCCTTAGAGTTTAAAACAGCTGACTTTCAATTTAAAGGGGTATTTTAAGTACTTACAGTAGTGGGGGAACGAAGTATGACTTTTTACCCCTGGGGGATAATATGTCTAGTACATATTAGAGAACATGGTTAATCAGTATCAGAATCAGAGCGTAAACACCCTCAAAATAAAGTTGAAAGTCAACACTTCATAGCCGTTACTGAATTTCAAATCTAATGTGAAGGAGAACAGAGTCAAAACAAAACTGTCCAAATATTTGCAGACTGTTATTTGATCTTCAAACAAGACATTGATGGAATAAGGCTTTTCATAGCCCAGTGCCAATAACCTTTTTTAAAGACTCTGAGATGCCTCAATTCTTGAGCAAGTATGCACACTACCTACAACTGCCAAACAAAAAGCAGCTTGTCCCTTATCCTGCACCCCCGCTCCCTCCAAAGGCACCAGCAATCCTGGGAAATGTGCTTTCAATTACCGGCCTAAAGACTACAGGAGGAGAGGCGGAAAAATGTCTGCCTGATTTATTTAGTGCTCTGTGGAAGTTCTTCTCACCATCCATTCACTGAATCCATCGAGAAAACACTTCATCTCCCATCTCAGGCAGGAACGGCTGAAGGTCTGTACCCTGACACAATTAACCTCCTCTGGGTCTGAACAAACCTCAAGACCTGAGTGATACTGATGGATTGGACTCGGGGTTGGACGCCCTGACAAAACATTTTGACATAAGTGGGCAATGTCAAGTGTAACTGCTGATTAACAAGCTACCTGCTCGGAGAGAAAACAGGCAGCCACGGTCAGCTCACGTAAGCCTTTGGCCTAAATGTCAGCGCAAAGAAAATAAATCACAAACATCGTCAACATCCATGGTATGTATGCTGCTTGTTTACCCCAACTTCTTTAACCTTAGCATGTTACTTCTACAGATGCAAAGACACTATTGTGCATCCACACGCATGTTCTCGTGCACACGCCTGCACCCCACAGGCGGAGGAGACTCTGGATCAGACCGGGCTGATTAACAACTCCTGAGAGATGCTCGCCCAGCCAAGCTGTCTGCAGCAAAAACTCCCACAACCACAGGGATGCTGAACACACACCATTCTTCACATCCAGCAGATTTTTTACAAACACATGAGTCAAACATGAAGGAACTTAGTTTTCACCACATCGGAGGCATCCTCCTAGCGCAGAACTGCTGACATAAACTGGCTGCCTCAGAGCGAGCTGGGTTTACACCAAAGTGTGACGCGCAGCATGTGTGGCGCTTCAGAAACACTGAAGGCACCGACTGTCACTCCGCTGCCTTCGATTTACAAGGCACAGGAGAGAGGGGAAGCGTATGTGGCACAGTGAGCGTCTGTATGGTCTCAGCGACGTTGTGGAGGGGTTTCTTTCAAATGTGTGCAATAAAAAGACTTCTAGGAATACAGCTGAGCGGCGCAGCACAGCACAGCAAACACAGCAAACACACTGCATTGATTACTAAGCTGTATGCCTGAGGACAACAGTCTTTAGGGTGTAGATATAGTTAAATATCACTCACTTCTAAAAGACAACTATGGAAAGGATAGGAGAGAAAAAAAGACTTGTCTTGCTAGATGTCCTACAATTAGGAATTCCTGCAAAAAGCACAACGTAAAGTTAAGTTACGAACCACCACAGGTGGATTGTTCCACTCCTCGTAGGTCCGGGCAGCATACGGGTAGATGCGGTCGTTGATAATCTGGAGCGTTGTCAGTCCGATCGACTTCATGGAGCTGAAGTAGGCCTGCCAGAACCAGTGTGCCTATGGGTAAAAATAATGTTTTGATTAAATATAATAATGAATCCTTCTTCTATTAAGAGACATTCACTGTAAAGATGTAGACAATGAAACATAGGATATTTCAATTGACCATAGAAAAAACATGCAGTGAAATATGACTGCATACAGGTGTAAGAAAACCATCTTGTAAAAACTACCTCACTCTTATGTGTAACATTATGATGCTGTTTGTTTCTTTTTTGTATGTTGTTCTATATTATTATTTGATATGCTGCAGAACAGAATCGTGCTGTAAACCATTTTCAACTGAATTATTTCATTATTTATATTTTTCTGTACAATTCAGAATATAATAAAACCCAGTGCTTTTTCTAGATTAAGTCAATACTGTGGAAATGTCAAAAGACATGTTCTACTAAAAACCTTAACTTGAATAAGATAGTATTTCATAAAACAGTGGGAATGTTGATATTGCTTGAATAACTGTTTCTGTATTTGTATTCTCACTATGCTGTGGAGTATAGTCACTACACGACAGAAGATAAAACCAGTGTGAAGTCAGAGCAGTCAAATCCAGATTTCTCCCGCTGGACGAGTCTTTAAAGAACATTTTGAAGCCTCTTGACCTTCACCAACTCTTCCTCTGAAGCCTTTTGACGGAGCCTGTTTTGCTTCAACAGATCTCTGATGTGAAAAGCAGACTTTAATGATAACTGAACTCTTAACCCATATCTTAATGTTATCACATTGGCTGCTGGAATACCAAACTCCAGCTGCTCTAATTCACCTCTCACTTCATATGTATGTTTTTTAGACTTTAAAGATGATAAAGAATACCTGTACATTAATTATGTTCTATGGACAGTTTGTTGGAGCTCTGGCTGTGTTTTATACCATCATATACTGACTTGATGAATCTCGAGAAGTACTACTGACCATGACATGCGTGGCTACTCTCCTGTAGGCTCATATTCTAGTTAGAAACTTCAAGGGACAGTTCAGAGGCGAGAGAAGCCTATAAGAGTTAATGAAGCTTTAAACAGCAGCGTCTCCTGCCGGGAGGCACCGTGCTACACTGACCCGACTCCACCCCACTGGCTCCTCAATGACCCACAGATCTGGAGTAGAGGGTGTTCATATTTGAGTTGTTGTGTGTAAGCCACTGAGCTACACTTGTTTATCAACCAATTGTCATTCACCAACTTGTATTGTGGGCTAATGTGTTCCCCAGACGTAGTCCCTCGTGGCACGTGAACTTTTGACAATTGCCTAAATCATCCATGTATGAGTATAAGCACTGGAGTTGTATCATAACACAAAAACAGCCTTTATTTTTATAGAGGGGGTGAGGAGAATCAAAAAGGACTTTCTAATCTCAGGGGGGAATCCCAACGGCTCATAAATCAGCCGGTGATGAAAGTTTCCTTTCCGACCGGGGGGAGGCAGAAAGCAAACTGTGCAGGCCCAAGGGCCCATATCACCCCCCCCCCCCCCCCATTCCACTAACTGCAGGAATTTTTATGAGCATGGAAGAAGAGACAGCGTTGTCAAAGTAGAAAAATAAAATCCTTTACACCATCTTTTATTTGCTGCACCTAGTCTACTCTTTGTTCCTGACGGATAAAGATATGTAGCAGTAAATATAGCAAGCTCAGCAAAATGAATTTCAAAGATATGATGTATAATGCACACTGTAAATAAACCGCCAGCAAATAGTGAGAAATAATGCAAACAATCCCAAGAGAGTCATATTCCTCTGTAGGTCAAGCCAAAACAAGTCTGACGTAGCGTTTTGTTAAGAGCAAATGATATTCTAATTTCCTTCTAGTTTACAGAGTTCCTTAGCAGCTCGTTTAAATTAATAAAAAAAGGTAAACGAGATGATAAAACCGTTTATATTTCAGTAGCCTGCATCACTTTGTTAAATCTAGAGGAAGTTGTCAAGTGCCTGACAGATGATCCAACCTCTGGAGCAGAATTGGCAGCCGGTGTGGACACAACCAGGCGATCATTAGTGTTTTTTTGACATAATCTAAAACAGCAGTGAAACAAAGTCTGCTTCAATCGAGTGCTGCTTACTGGGAATATTGTTTTTCTAAAGATTTTTTAGCACTTTTAACTGTGATCAAAACATTTACACATACTTGCCCACACACTACTTGTTAATAATAACGAAACTGGTCTTCCAGGTGTAAATCAGTCCAAGTTAGAAGGACTCAAAATATAATCTAACAGGACTTTGGATCTAGACAACCACGACTGAAGACTACCGAAGCCCCATGGGTAGCCTCGATTAAAGCCAACCCCCCTGACAATAGTTCAGTGGTTCGATGTAACAGACTAAACAAACTCTGAAGTACTGTAATTGAGTATAATTTTTGAGGTACCTGTACTCTAATTTATATTTCTACTCCAGTATATTTCAGGGGCAATTGCTGTACCTTTTACTTTTTATACACATACTTTGTAGCTTTAGATTAAGATGTAGGTAAGATTCAACAGCAAAGACGAATACATTAGTATGTATATTCTTTTTAAAGATAAGGTAACCTTTACCAGCTGCAACTGTATAACTTACTGCTTAATTAAAAGATCAGAATACTTCTTCCACCACTGCACTTATTTATTTTACTTTAAACAGTTGGCAGTGCAGAACAGAAGCATGTATACTGTACACTGATTATATTTTCAGAAGGCAGTTCTGTACTTATAACTTCTGCATTTGTGAAGGTAAAGAAAGGGGATATGAATTTAGTGCGAGGCGTCAGTAGACAGTCGAAGGACATCACATTTACATTTTTGATTACGAAGTTTAAGGGGCTTTTATTACATTTGTACCGACCAAAAAGCCACTGACACCTGTCATCATCCTGTCTGACTTTTCAGTTACCTTTGAGATGAAAGATGTAGAAAGATGTAAAAAGAAGAAAAGCAGACACCACGTAAGGGACAGGGGGAAAGACCAACTTGACTTGTTCTATAAATCAGCTGCAGCCGGTGAAATGTTCAGCATGATGGAGGACTGGGAGTCTACTAAAAGGTTTGACCACGTCAAACACACCCAAAGAAAACCTGGTTCAAGCATAGGTAGGTAGAACTCCATCTTGAGCATTAACTCCCTCCTCCCGTCGTATACTGTATATTGTGATTTAATCAAAAAAGATTTACAAAGGACTGTGTATGTGCCTTATTTTATGGGTATGACCGCAACAAGCCTCAGAAGTACACAAATGTGGGCATCGCAGTCTAACTTGAGCTCTAACACCTCACAGCTATTTGGTATTGGAGTGAGGTTTTAGGCTTTGTTGAGTAAGTTAGAGCAAAGAAAGCCTGGCTCTGTCAAACTTGCTAAGTGTATCCCCCTGTAAGAAGACATGACCTTAAGTGAACAATTGCACTTTCGGTTGAGGTGAGTATGCATTGTGTATTCCTATTTTTATATTTGTAAGCACAAAAGTCCGACCACATGGGAACAAATAGACGGACAGAGGGTGAAAGAAAAGGCTGCTGAGCCCTCTGCTGGCAGCACTAATGAAATACATCAGCTCCAACACATTTGAAGATAATTAAAAAGCTGAACTTTTTGGAATTTCTCCTTAGGGATATTAGCACGCATAAAACATTTAGTTTTCGTCAATTATCCAGTCTTTAATAGCAGGGAAGATGGAGAGTTTTCAGAGGTAAGAGTACAACAGACCCTGATGGTCCCTTAAAACATGATATACTGTTTATATACAGTGCCTGTTAAGATGGACTGTACTAATGTGCCAAATCCATGTAGATACAATTCCTTTCAGTATTACATTCCGTTCCTGCCGTGGGCTTTGGGATTATTAAGGATGAGATTAAATTAAATAGATGGTAATAAATTAGAATGCGGCAACCACAATTTTTACCACAGTTTTTTTCTATAAAACACTGTTTCGAGAGAAAATGTTTTGCACCACTATGTAAAGAGAATCTGTAACTTTTGTTGATATTTTGTAAAATTATACAAAGTAAATGTCTAAGTTGAGAATCGACCTGCAACAGAGGAGTACTGTGACCAATGGATAACCATTTTAGATCAATGCTACCAAGTGAGCTGTGAGCTATACACAGCAGAACACCCCCCAGCAGACATCAAGTCATGTTTTTGAGTCTGTCCGCTGTAATCTAACCCCCAATCCCGTCTATGAGCCCTTCAGTCTGAAACGTCTGTTTGGCCAGTATAATTAGTAAATGGACTAGAGTTGATACAAGGGAATGAGGAGCAGCTGAACTGCTGCACTTCTCTCAAAGCTGCTTTCACTTTTGTTTATTGTGGCTCAATGTAGATATCAAAAAGAGAGTGAGCCGTCATCTGTTCATTTCACTCGAGCTAAAATCAACACATGTTCGACTTCTGAAAGCTTTCTAAAGTCTAGACTGAGCAAAAGAGGAAATTCTAACTTAGAAAAGGTAAGAGTGGTATCCAAACTTCTGTCTTTCGCTCATCACATTAAGTTTGTTTCGACTTCCAACACATGACATGCTAGAGCTTTAACTCTCCTGATAGCACCTCTGACTTCCACGTCAATCTGAGTTTTCAAACTAAATATAAGCCACTTTAAATCATTTTAGCTGAGAAATGGTTTCTTTTGAGTGCGTTATGAATGTTACCTGTCTTTGCATCTCTTCCACTTGTCTGTGAGGAATGCTCTTTAGGATGGTGTACATCTCTGATAGCTTCTCCTCTGGAATAACCACAGACGCCCTGAGGATAGACAGAATAATTAGATGGAAAATGGCAGACGGTAAAACCATTTACTTGTTTTTCAACTGTTACAACTTATGCTGACCTTTTCCAGTCAAGAACTTCAGAAAATGGCAGAATGTAGGAGTCAGCGAGAATGACAGGAACACAGCCAGCCTGCAACACATCACTGAGGGCAGCCTGACCCAAACGGGCCCCCCGCAAAACCACACAGAATGAGGACTCCTGTAGAGACACATTGGGAACTGTTAATGGGACACGTTGAATTGCACACAAAGGAAAAAATCAAATCAAACCATACTGAACAATTTCACTTCTAGATCATTCTTCTCAACTCAAACAACATTTAGGAACTTTAACTGCATTTTGAACACAGTTACCTTGTTCCAGTTTTAGTTCCTAGAGGTTAACTCCCAAACAGTTCCTGTTACCAAGGGAAGTGTGTATTTAAGGTTACATGAATTAACAGGCTCCAGGAACTGCTGCACTTATTGTTGCGGAGTGGTAAAACACAAGCTGCTCAAACATCTATTCAACATCCATTTAGCCTTTCACTATCACTTGGTGGTGGTGGTATTAATATTAGTTATTGGGATGGGTATTTCTTGTAAAGAAATGTTCAAAAAAATCATGCCGCCAACTCTGTTTGTATTGGTGTTGAGCTTTGGGAAAGTATTGCATTTAACAAAGGTGGTCTTTAAAACTATATCTTCAATATAAAATTGTATTCAATGCTGTGCCCCCTACCTGAAGGATCTGTGGGTAGTCGTACACCTGCCCCTTGTAACATCGTTTTCGTGCAGAGGCGGCCCCCTGGGAGAGGTTGCTACACTTGTCCAGGAGGAGCAGCGCTTCTCCATTTTCTTCCTTCAAGCGCTCTAGTTCAGCGCGGTACTCTCGGTGGATGGCGGTTTGAGGGGAGAGAATAAAGTAGCGCCGTGGCCTGGGAGAATGGAGACAGGAGATATAAAGAGGCAAATGGTTATAATACTCTATACCAGGAGTCGGCAACCTTTTTGATATGAAGTGCCATTTAAAAAAATGTTATCAGCGTGCCAACGAGATCGAGAATTATCAACGGGGGGGGGGGGGTTGAGGAGCTTGACGCTCGTGAACTATCAGCAGGAGGGCGGGGGAGCCTCGCTGCGGGGAAGCAGTGTGTGGACCTGTCAGCGCAACGTATGATGCCGAATTTAACAATAACATTTAAATAATTGGTTTAAACGGCATAATAATAAGGATGATCGTCCGTTCTGTGATTCTCCAGAGCACACATGTTATGATATTAGGGTCATGCAGAGTGAGATGAGATCGCTGTCCCTTTAAGAGAGAGAGAGAGAGAGGTGTGGCTTGTGAATGTGTGTGTGTGGATGGTAGAGCGACAGTGAGGGAACGTGTGTTTGTTTCTGGAAGTGAAACGAGGCAGCAGAAAAACAGGTCTGTGATGTATTTTGTGAAACAGAAGAACAGCTAAATAAATGCAACGGCCTCCCAAGAAGAGCTCGCCTCTCTCCAGTCATTTAAGCTAAAGTGGGTTATTGAACCTGAAGCTTGCTGCTTCTGCCCTCCTCGACTACGGTCTGGGAGCCGACAGGAAAGTTCAACACACAGATGGCCAGTCCGCCCCTTTGTAGCATGTTATTTCGATGAGAGATGAGCAGATCGCCACTGGGCTTTCAACTAAAGACACAGCCACGCAAAAACTGCGGCATTTGTACAGCTCCTTATGGGTACTGCAATTTGTGAAGTGCTTTCCTCTGTGGTGAAACGATCAGCACTGCACCACGGAGGAAAGCTGCAGAAAGTCGCCTGGAATTAAAGAGAGCGGGGCTGCGCTGCGTGCATGGCTTCCTTCTGCAGGTAACGGAGAGACGCGCTCTGGCGGCGGTCTCGTTCATGATCCGAAAATACAATTTAAATATTTTGCACACTTATTCCACTTATTCCTGGTGTGCCACTGGTTACGGTGCCGCGTGCCAGCAGGGGTTGCCGACCCCTGCTCTATACCGTTGACTATACATTATATTGCTTCTCAATCAAGCCTAGACTAATGAGTGTTGCTAAACCACAATTACTTGAATATACTCAGAAGACATCATTATTCCCTTGGAGCACTTTCCGTATAGAAGATGTTGAAGGATAACGTATTTGAGTTGACAGTAATCTGGTCATGATGTGCTACTCAAACAAGACAATGAGAGGTAATGTCTGCTCACCCTGGCTGTCTCTCAGGCAGCTCAACATCTGCGGAGAGGGGGCTGTAAACAGGGATGCTGACGTCATAACCTTGTCTGTAGGTCCATGTAGAGAAGCCTCCTCCAGCCAGCAGCGCTCTGAAACAAAAGAATGCTTCAACACTCATGTTTCAACAGGTACAGTTACCAACTCAAAAACACAAACTCCTTAATTTGCTTCCTTTTAGAACTGTTGCTATCACCAATGCAGATATAAGATATAAAGTGATATCAAACAAGGCTCTGTGACCTGGTTAATAGATCCCATGTAGTCCATTAGGTGATGAAAAGTATTTTGGAGTCTGTTCTTTTCTCATGCAAGGTGAATATAAAGTGGAAACACACCGTCAGTCACACACACCTGGTTCTAATGAGGCACCATGCCAAATGGACTCCAGTTGGAAAGCCCAGGAAATTCCTTACAGCTGCAAGGTAGTGTTCCTTGTCTCAAGGCTGCATGTTCATAAACCCATCCTCAACCATCACTCTGGACTGTCTATTGGACATCTTGAGAAACAAAGGCTCTTCGCTGCTAAATACAACCAGATTTTAAACGTCTCCTCAAGGCCTCTTAAATATATCCTATCTCCAACTTGCTCGTATCATCTCCTTCTTCTTTATGAAATCATCATTCAGTGTGATTGACTGCTGTTTCAATAGTAAATGCTACCTTTAATAATAATCCATTTTAGAAGAAACATTGATTTAATGCAACAGAATATACACAAACAAGATATTATTTATCTACAAATATTTATCTTTTTTTTAATTTATCTACAAGTGGTACGCTTCTGATCTTAAAAGCATGAATCTTGAAAACATTCTATCCTCCTCCTTGGTGTTGTAAAAACAATGCATTATATTTGAATGTTAAGCTTTTTTCATGTCTGAATTGACTGTGATGGTATATCAGCTGATGACACTTGTTTAGCTACAATGAATGCACCAAGCCTATCCTTTGATGGAAGAGTATTGTTTTCTACATATTTCCATTCATTTCACTTAATATCATAATGAAGATATTATTTCATATTAATCTCAATCTTTATTGATTTATATAGCACATTTAAAACAACCTTCAGTTGACCAAAGTGCTGTACAGGCAATAACTACAATATTAAATAACACAATGGGAGTACAATAATTAAAAACATGATAAAAAGCACAATAACTAGAAACATATATTAAAAAATTAAAGATTGTGTCTCAGATGTATAGTAGTGGGTACCTGTCTCTGGGCACATCCAAGGCAGTATTGTAGTCTGGAGGGCCCCCGGGTAACATGTTGAAAAGTAGGTGATTCATCCCTTTATCCCATCTACCAAAATACAATAATACACAAGATTAGTGTTGGATAGATACATTAATTAACATCATATTTGATTTTTAAAAAGGTTTTGTATTGGCAGTGGTTTCAGATAATCAAAGTTTTAAACAGTTATATAATTGTGACATTTTTTAATTGTAAGAGATGACTTAATACAACTGTTTGAAATGTTCTGGGGAAGAACTTTTAAATGTTTGCAAGAAAACAAAAAAGTTGATAAATATAATTCGGCTTTTGTGACATTTCAGCTTTAAAACCCATGACAAGAACACAGATATAGGACGATGAAGTTCTTTTCAAACACTTACCTGGGTAGCATTGCCAGAGCCTGGGCAGTCTCTCTTATACGCAGAGAGTTCTGGTTCAGCACATCAACAGATGGGATGAAAAGACAAGCCCTGGTGACGTCGTCAGTGTAAAAGTCACTGTCTGAGATGGCACTGAGCAGGTCATTGTACTCTCGAGACAGTCCATTGCTGCTGATGGGAACCCCCAATTCATCTACAAACTTCTGCAGAGGGTAGATGTACACCTACAAAAGCAGCCATTTAAACAATGAGTTATAATCTTAACACGGAGCAATGCAAAATATTGAAACGATACACCCATTTTGTCTGAGCTCAGTGATTTAAGGGTTGTTTTGAGAGTCAGTTACCTTGATTCTGTTTTTCGGATTGTAGCCACATCTGTACACATCAAAACAGGTGTGCATGCGACAGCTGAGGTCCCCCCTCTCAGGAATGGGATTGGAGACAGGCAGGCGGATCAGAGGAGCGTCGTGGACACTGCGTTTATCCATGGTCCAGTCAGTTGCTGACTCAATGGAGTGGGGCCAGAACTGAAACATCCCGGTGGCAATGAGTCCGAGCAGCACCACAGAGAAGAGGGTGATGTAGTATATGCGGTGCTTGGTTTTCATCCGTGGGATGAGAGCAGGGCCCCGCGAGGTGTATTTCCCAGAGGCATACATGGCTGAACCTCCAACCAGCCACTGTTAAGACAAGAAATGGTAAATGACAGCTTCCGTATATACACAATGAAGAACAATCTACCCTGGTACAACAAAAAAAAGTGAAACAATCGAACTCAAGAGAAAGACAAACGATACGATATTACTTTATTGTCAGATCAAGTCTGAAATTTGACTTGCGTCACAGCAGCTCCATGTCCAACATCAACAGACAAATATGCATACACAAATATATGAAACACAAACATTTAACATAACAGCACAATCAGTGAGAGAAAACATGCTCAAAGAGCCTTCAGCGTGCATTTGGTCTGGGATTTAGATCTGTATTTACTGTGAGGATTGACTGATGCACAAAGGAGTGCTTCAGTCTGACTTTATTGAATCGTGGGATCCTGTATCTCAGATTAGATGGTAGCAGTTCATATTCACTGTTCAGAAGAACATGGTTTGGGTCAGAGATGATGTTGTTGGACAGCTTCACTAGGCTGAGTCATAGAGTCTCTGACAGGGTTGACCAACAATCTTTGAGCAGATCTTTAACAGGTGGAGCAGTTTTGATTTTAAAGCTGCTGACAGACATTTGTACCAGGTAGTATTGCAGTACTGTAGAATAGACAAGATCACAGATGTAAAGAACAACAGAAGAATTTCTCTGCTCGCCCCAAAAGACCTAAGACGGCAGAGAAAATAAATTCTTTGTTTTGTCCTTTTGCACAGATATTCAATGTGGTCCTTCCATGACAGCAGATGGTCAATCATTACACCCAAGTATTTGTATGAAACTCCCTGCTTGATCTCATCTGTATGGATGACAATGGGAACTTTATGGGAGTCAGATGGTGAGCCAAAAATGATTTCCTCAGTTTTCTTGGTGTTGATCTCAAGAGCATGTTATCAGTCCACTCGACCACCTGATTTACAGCCTGTTGGTGCAGCTCAGGGTCGTCTGTGTTACTGAGCAGAGATATTATTGCAGTATCATCAGAGTACAGAGTACTATGATTAATTGATTTGGTGTGTTGGTACGACAATCATCAATGTAGAGAGTAAAGAGCACAGCTGAACTCACACAGCCCTGAGGGCCCCTACATTGGTTGTGATGGCAGATGACAGGGTTTTGTTAACATTCACAAGTTGCTCTCTACTGGTGAGGAAAGCGGCATACTAGTAAATCAGGTATGGATTTACTTCCATTTTGGCCACTTTTGACACCAAGATGTCTGCTTGTATTGTGTTGAATGCTGATGAGAAGTCTAGGAAGAGGGCTCTTGCATAGGTGTTACGTTTATCTAAATGTTTAGTGATGATATGAACCAAAGTAGCCACAGCATCTTCCGTACCCCACCCTTGTTTATAGGCAAATTGGTATGGATCAAGTTTGTCTTGTGTTGTACTGATAAGGAATCGGAGCAGAATTATTTCAAGTGATTTCATAATCACTGATGTGAGGGCTATTGGTCTGTAGTCCTTATGTTCTTTTGGGCATGGAATTTTGGGCAGCGGTTTGATGTGGGAAGTTTTCCATGACAGAGGGATGGTGTGCGTGTCAATGGAAGCCTGAAAGATGGGTTGCCACACTGGAGCCAGCTCAGTAGCAAAGTTTGTCCAAGTATTATTTAATAACACAGCATAGTTCAGGCAGACCTCTTTCATAATTTGGGGGGCGGCATTTTATTACATTCATATTGGGAGGAGATTGGCTAAAAACTAAGGAACGTTTTTGGAATACAAGCTGAATACTCCTTTTCACATTGGCAGAAATCCCGGACAACGTCATGACCCAGGATGCATGTCTAATAGAGAAGGATGCGTGCAATAAATCCATCCCTCGGAAGTGGCTGCAGGCAAACCGGCCTTCAAAAGGATGAATGGATCGCAATTGTTAATGAGATACACCCTTCCGGAAAAAATACTTTTACTTAAGTTTAAGATGTGATCAATAATGTACAGGAAAAATAGACTACATACTTTAACCTAAACCAAATGACTGGTAAAAACTTAAAAGAATGCAGTGCATATTTAACCCGTTATTAATCACGTGAATCAGATGTTTATATGATACTAATTTCAATGACTTTGCTGTCAACGACAAGACTAGTGAATCATAGTGTATATATGTAAAATATAGGCAACCGCGGATGACATCAAGCCAAAAATATTAACCATAACGCCGAGGAAACATACAAATTGTTCAGTTAGCATATGGTATATGTTTAAGCAACAGCAATGTTTGAATACCTGGAAAGCTTACACGGCTAATGTAGGTTAGCAGCAAGCTAAGATAAACCAGCTGTATACATATTTGGCCAAATTGTTTCACTAACGTCAGCTGACATGATTCAACGTTAATAAAACTATCCGAAAAGAGTACAGTATATTCCACTTACCGAAAAATTTAACAGAACGGGTTGTGACCGGTTGGTTCTTAATTCATGGCAACGATTATAAAACAGGCTACACTAGTAAATACTGTTAGAGCTAACGCTAGAGTAAATTGCTCAACGGTTTCCGGAAATCTGTCTTCTTCGCTGATATGTATGTTAGTGACTCAGGAGGTAGACATTCTGCTTCCCTCTGGTGGGGGTAGTGGTACAATCATTTACCCATGCACAATGATCAGCTGGACAATCTGCTTTAAAACTAAACATGTTTTACATGTTTAATCCTCCTCTACCATACAAAAATACAGTTAAAATACCCAGGTAAATTCAAAATAATTACTCTACAACAGGTCTAAGGTGTGTCATTGGTGATATCAAACAGAAACCTCCAACCCACTGTCCCCAGTTCCACTGCACACTCATAATACACTGCACCTACACTCAGGCTTAGATATAGCCCAAAATAACCATTACTCAAAATCTGTACTCAGTCAGCAGTCCTAATACTGAGGACATCTTTACATCAAACAAAGGATGGGTAGGCAAGTCTAGGTATTTTCCTCCATGTATCGATTGCATTGGATATAAAACATTGTTTTAAGTCATTTTTTGCCGAAATGTGCCTTCAACAGAAAATGTATTTATGTATCTATTAATATGTTCAAGGTAAACTGTATCTGGTCAATTCGTAGCAGTGATGAAAAGGAGCGGACCCAAATAACATGAGGCATCACATTCAATGTGTTTCTCATTTTAAATATGACAGTTATCACAATGCTGACTACATTTTATAAGTAAATACTGAAAGAGATATGACAGAACATCCTTGTTATTTTCATGGTTTGTAGTTTATTCCATTACAGGCAGGGCAGTGAGGGGGAGGGATTAAATACATTCTCATTGTGGGGCAGGAAAGGAGGGGAAGCAAACCAGGTAAACATGGACAAGACATAGTTGAATTATTCTTCTTTCAATATAGACCAATTTGTAAATCTGCCGATAGTTTGAATAAATAACTTTCAGATGAACATTTCTTTCTCTACACGTCAATACTGATATCTTTTAATATACTCATTATCTCCTTATTGTTATATAGTTGTTTTCTACATGATTCTATTGGAATTCATCTTTTTTTTAAACATCTGCATACATAATTACACATAGGACATGGTGCTGTACACATCATGGTGGAAAGTATTATAGTGCTTTCTTTCAGCAGTGTTTTAGTGTATGACTGTAGGAAATTGCTGGTCCAACCTTGGTATGAGTCTACTGGGACTGGCAGAATGATGCGAGTAGTGTCAGACTGTAAACTGTCTGAAACTGTCAACGGTGGGTAATCACTGCAATCTTAATCCAAATAGAGAGATTGGGCAGATCATTATGGTGACTCCAGGCGTGATGGTGTTGCTGCGGAGGTGACTGTAAGTAGGCCGTCCGCCTGCAGCATGTATCACTACTATGAAACATTTGTAAAAAGAGAATATTGTCACGATGCCATGGCAGACTGTCAAATACTTTTCCACTCGGACAGAAAAAAAGCGATAATATATAACTCCTTACGTTTGGGGAAGTCTAAAAAGTTACCCACACTGTCCCAAAAAACTAAGATAAAAACTACTGACATCAAACCAATCTGTTGCAAGAGCAATAAGGATAATAATACCATCAAATATAGCAATAAAAGTGATAAAAACATTAACGGTAATAAATAATGCAAATTGTTAGCCACCTGTTACATCCAGAGTGTTATGGAGGATCAAATGCCAAGTACAGTATTTATCATTGGCAAACTGAATGTTGGAGGCCATTCATTTAGTCCAGCTTCAGGGGTGATGCAGATGAACCACATTAAAGAAAAACACCTTGACGTCAAGGATGACTGAGAGCACCTTGAGAACAAGAGCGATGATATCCTGTGATTGAAACAGTTTGGTCCTGTATGGTAAACCATGCCTTTCATAAGCTTTTTTTTTAATGTTTGAGTTGACATTTGTTTTCATTTCTGGTCATGTTTAGAGCTTATCTACTGTGATTTAATGATAAGATTTGTTCTATTTCGGGCATGCTACTCTGAAGTGCATAAAGCATGCAGACCCTGACCTGGGCACTTTGCTAAGAGCTCTGCAAAGAGTAAGGTACATAAGACGACTAATATAAAGTTCATTATTGTTTCAAACCCAGGTTCACAGGCTATGTTTTCCAAATGAAAGCCACGGCAGTGTTAAGGTCAGGATGGCATCTTTTCTGTGGTGTTGCTTTGTAACAGTCTACATGGGAACCAACAGAATGGGAAGGAGATAATTAATTACTCTTAAGTTTAAATAAAGCAATATCCATATACATATACAAAACTACATCTCAAATACATTTGGCAATATAATGTATTAACTTTTTGGCAAAGGGGGGTACAATTGAGCGGTTTGAAGTGTGCAAGAGTATCCAAATGTCAATCTAAGTGGCTTATTGACAATTTCTCTTTAAAAATAAAGAAGAAAAAAAAAAAACTTCATGCACAATAAAAATAACCAAAAGACTCAAAAACATCCATAAGCATCTGTAATAACTTTGTCACAATCACTACATTTCTTAAGACACATGAATTCTCACCAATGTAACACACTTCAAAGTCAATGCTTGAAAAGACCTGAGGAACATTTTATAATGTCTTCTCACTTATATTGATTTACGAATATGTCCATCTTCACATTCCTGATATGAAAAAAATAAAAATTAAATAAAAGCTGATAAAGTTTCCGGAGCGGCTGAGGGTGCAGAAGGCTGCACAGTACATCAACCCAGGTGATGTGCCTATGCTAACCTCTTCTACAGTGTTAGTTTTTGAATCCCTGCTCAGTTAAGTATTCTCCCTTTGATTTTGTTATTTCGGGGAATGATGTAATGCTGACGCGTCCCTATGTGGGTGAGACAACATGTTTTGGAATGGCATTGTGAAGCTACAGTTATTTATATTCACCCAATAGCAGTACAGCCCCCTGGCATGCAGAGAGGTCTCTTTTTTTCTTAGTCATTGCAATTGTGAGAAAATGCTATAAACACCTGAAAAATGGGAATAGTTTCTCAATTGTTTCAATTGGTCAGTCAAGTTCTGTCATAGGATCTCTGATGAGTGACTGCATTCCATCGCATGCTTGTACTGTGATATGTTTTACATCTTGGATGACTGCACCTCTCCATTTAGAGCAAAGGACATAGCACACTACACCATGGATGCTAGTGTGTTCTCTTCAGGAAGGTGGCAAGGGCTAGATGTTCGTAGGGAGTGCATGGCTGGCAGGACGCCCTCGCCTGGGGAAAGGTCGTTGAGCTCCTCAGACGACGAAAGAGGGAAGGAAGGGGACAGAGAGATGCCTGAGGAGGGGTCAGCAGATCCAGCAAAAGTGCGTGGAGGCTTGGGGACTAAGTTAGGCTCCATTGTTGCTCTGGCAAGAAGTTGTTTGTCATCCAACAGCTGTCCATCTACGAGACACTCCCCGTGCCCAAAGGAGCCCCGGCCAGACTCTGACTCCCCATCTGATAGCTCCAGAGGCGGGGAGCAGCTGCCGTCCAGTCTGAAAAGAGAGTCTAAGTACTGGGCGAACTCCAGCACCGCCTGGCTGGGGTTTCCATTGGACAGTTGGGGGGGAGGACTAGAAGCTGCCGGTCTGGATCCCGCACTAAACTGTTTATCTGCCGTCTCCCAATCTTCATTTTCTCTAGAGTCAATGTTTGGGCTAAGGGGAGCGTTAGGAGTGCTCCCTGGATCGTAGACACCAGGCATCTGTTGGTGGTCCCCATCAGGAAGCATTTTTCGGTTGGTGTTAGGCTCCGTCTGAAAAGGCTGAGCCGTGACGCTCTGGTTTAGCAGAGCTGGGGAATCATGTCCACTGCTGCGGGGGGTAGCGGGGGACAGACGCATGGGGTACTCTGGGGTGGATCTGGAGTCCATTGGGGTAAAGAAAGGCCCGACCTGTCCCATGTGCTCTGGTGTGTCCGGACAGAGGCAGTCGGCAGCCAGGAGTTCAGTGCGGGAGCTGAGAGACGGGTTCTCCTCGGGGATCGGGGCATCCAAAGAGAACGGCAGGCCACACAGCATTGGTGAACCCCTAAGGGCAGCAGAGGAGCGTCGGGAATCCAGACTGTAGAGGGATTCGGCGTCTGAGAGACTCTCCATGAGAGCTAAAGGTGCTTTGCGGTCCCTCAGCTCCACTGTCAGGCGCTCCCGTGCTCCACGCAGCACTACAGGAACTGGGGGAGGAGGGCACTCAGCGAAACCATCCAGCGATATTTCAGACTGGGCACACGAACTAGAGGAGAGTAGAAAAGGGGTTGCAGAGTAGTGACATGACAGGAGGGGAGAGGGGATCCAAAACACAAGACAGACATGGAAAAAGGGTCAAGACAACTTAAAGGAGGGAAAAACGGGAAGTGTTAGTAACCACACGTATCTAGATTCTACAGATTAGGTGAACACTACCAAAACACTACATAAATGAAAGGAAGAACAGACAAAGGAGAGACTGGGAGTGTATTCTAGTGCTCTTATATTAGCATCTAATACAGAGTGGGTGCAATCATATTCAACCATCACAACCAGGAGTTAACAGTGACGTTGGACAGGGGTTATAGCAGAGAGGGCGAGGTGGGAACTGAATAATACCATAAGTTGCAACTGCTCTGTGGTCAGACAGCGTGCATGCGTGCATGAGAGAAGGGAGCACATTATGCAAAATTAATAGCATGCTTTTCTTACCGTAGAAATGTTTTTTGTCTGTTTTTTTTTAACCAAACAAAACAGAAGCGATGATTTTGAGAAAACAATAAAGTAGCAGTTAGTAGCAGTAGTAGTGTAAAGTATTGCCTAGAAAGTTAAAATAAAATTAGACATGTCCCCATGATTATTCCTGCAGTTTAATAAGAGTTTTTCTCCAGTATATCTTAAGAGGGGAAAATGATTATACAGAGGATAGAAGAAGAAAAAGTACACCCACAGTGGTGCCTGATGTACTAACCGAACACTACTGTTCCTGCGGTGGTGGGTTGTAGGCGTCGGCTGCTGAGTTTTTGATGTATCCACGAACATGCTCTCTGGGTTCAAGTCCACTTCTGTGGGGCTCACCATGATCTTTGCTGCTGAGAGCAAAGCTGTTTTCCCTTTGTTGTAGTTCTCCAGAACCTGTCACAAGAACAAAGGGTACACAGATACGTGACTTGAGAGATAAAGGTACGATGAGAGCAAGAGAGCAGGGAAGATACGCACTGACAATCAACATGAACAGAACTAAAATTGCTTACGAAAGGCCCAGTTCTAACTGAAAAGAACATATATCTCCTCCCTAATTTATGTTTCAATTATATAATTCTGCTATACTCAATTTATAAAAATCCGAAGGATTTTACCTGCCTGTTCATTTTTTTCTACGCGTTCAAAAAAGAATGGATGCAGAGGAATCCGTTGAACTGACACCCGATAGAAATAAGTTACATTTTTTATTTCTACTATATTTAAAAATATATACATATTATCCACGGACCATAAACACTTTTGGTATCAACACACTCCCAAATGCTGGTTGCAAAGTTAGTTATTCGGACCACACTCTGTAAGATTATCATGGTTTTCTATTGTCACAAGAAACACCTTTATCTATATTTAACTGCTGATATGATGCCATCTATTATTATGGTGTTAAAAAAGAAAAGTGTGGTTCTGATAAATGTGCAATCTAACGGTGAGCTTACACCTACTCCGACTGACATTAAACACCTACAATGGAGTCATAATGCCCAAGCAAAAACTATACAAGACTTTGACGTAGTAAACCATAAGAGAAAAGTATAGGCAACTTCAAAACATACTAAATAATATTTTCCACAAAATCTGACTCTGGTGTGTTAATTGTTAAAGTGTGACGAAAACAAACACACAACGGCAAATCACATCAACACACAATTGCATGTATTTGGTTAACTTTAATGAGTTAAAACACTTGGTGTAAAAACATAAAAAACATGTGGAACACATGAGAACACAAAAACATACAAGTGATGGAACAATGGAACATAAAATGACAAAACAAACTGAAAATGGATGTAAACAAAGACAACAAATCACAGGGAAGCATGCTCGTTAAGTTAAAAATGGCAACATAACAATGTTTGGGTTGTGTAGATGGTTATGGACCACAAATGAAAACATGACGATGTTACATGAGTGAGTGTGAGCAATGACACATGAGAACAACATTGCTGAAAGTGATCAACTACAGCAAATATTTGGCACGCACACATTCAAACACTTCACCTGCACTATAGGCACTATGACAACAAAAACTAAAATAAATCAAAGCATGAGACTGCAGAGCAGGAGAGAAGTTTATACTCTGAGTTTTAAATGATGTAATGTACTGCAACCCCTTCAGCCGTATATTCACATCACATATATCATTTATAAAAGCACATGTATGCATAGTAATATGAAATGGATGGTTGAGAATACGATTCCAGTTGCCATTTTTTTTATGTAAGGCCCCAAATTGTTCTTCACATACACACACACACACACACACACGTTCAGCCCTGTTACTCAAGCGGCTGCTGATTGACAGTTCCTTGAAGGGATTATGATTGAGGAAAGGCTGAATATGTGCTTTCAAAAGGCAAAAAGAGAAGTGAGAAGAAGAGCTGCAGCCCCTGAAAAACCCAGCCAATAAGGAAGAAAGAGCAGTTCATGTGGAAGAAATTAGGTTACATAGAAACTTTATGAATACAAAGGAAACGTGTTAACTGGAGGAAAAGGGTTGGCAAGTTCATGCACACAGCACTTGACCAAATGTACTGTAGCTGTGCAAGGAATGGAAATAATTGAAGGGTTGATATGAGGAAACCTAGATTATGAATCTCATTAAATAGAAGAATATTGTACACATAGTTGTAAAAGACTCATTTTAACTACGTTTTTAAGGTGTTACATATTATTTTATGGTAACATACTCCTTTGACCTGTGATGTATACCAGGGACTACTTATTGACAATATCACCCCAGCACCTCGCTGTTGTGAACGCACATTTCTGGTTCCAACTTACTTTGTCAGTTGTTAACATTCTTTGAGGTTCTTCTCCACATTTCTACTTTCCTGGAACACCCTTTAACACAAAACAGGGAACTTGCCTGGACTTGCAGCACCCAGGAACCAGTTGTTATATTGTGGAAAGAGCAAAAGGAAGTCTATGTAACAAGAGGAAACATGTTGCCAACTTTCCATCTTTTCTCAACTGTTAAAGCAGTTGAGCTGCTTTGCATCTGAGACTTGATTGCCTTCTCTTAGTGGAATAACTGGCAGGCTCTATACACCTCTTCTCTTACAAGAAGGCTTTTCACTAAGGACTATCACAACATTCTGAGCTTTAACATCAGGCAAACTCTTTCTCTTAATAAACCTCAAGAACACATTAGTCTGGCCATTTAGTCACAGTATTAATAGCAAGACTGGCAGTTTCTAAGTCTTTTACGATGAATAATTCCTTAAACAGAAACAACTGCTTTGATAAATGTGTTGTGTATAGCGGCTAATGGAGGCCACGACTAATACAGAGTGTCTATACAACAGTATCAGAGGGAGTGTTTGGCATGTGTAAACTGCGGACTTCTGGTTTCTGCGAAGAGCCATGTGATACAACCATTTTAAGAGGAGGATCTTCTATCTGAGAACTGTTTGTCTCATGAGATGGCATTTCAGAAACGGGAGCAGCAATCATATCTGCATAAGGGTTAAAGTCGGATAGGATCAATTGGGTTTGAGGAGGAATGCTGTGTGCTCCTGAGTGAGAGTTGGAGGGACTGTTAGAGATTTGGGGGACAGACACCGAAACAGGCTCTGAGGCAGAAGTACAGTCTGATAGAGAAAGAGGAGGAGGAGGAGGAGGAAGAAAAGACTCAGCATCGGCAGTCACAGGGACAGCTTCAGTTTCTTTGAGGGACTCAGCGCAAGACGGGTCTTTGTGGGTAGGAGAGGACGAATTAGAGGGAACAGGACTCAAGTTTAGCGAGGTTTGCGAGGTTTTGAACGCAGTGGAAATGCAGCTGGGTTGATGCACTTCAGGCTCCTCTGGTTCACAGTTTTCCTGCTCAGACTGGGCACAAAATGGTTCCAGTACCTGCAGAAACACCAGAGGTATCATACTACAGACTACGCACAGCAGCTGACACAATATCATCCATTCAGAGATATACTGACACAAAGCCACAAAGTCCAATGAAAAACCAAGTAAGAAGAGAATCAGAAAGGAACAGATGTACAACTTCAGCAACAATAATAACAGTGAGACAGTCACATGCAAACATACACATTGATACCCTGTAATCAAAGCAGATGTTCAATGCCCTTGTATCTCACATTAAGAAAGACCACCATAGAGAACACCATAACACCAGGAGGGAGAAGTTTCCATGCTTTGAAACTAGAAGAAAACACATGGTGCGGTAAGTTAATGAAGGGCCACATGCACACATTTGACCATAGAGTCGGGTTCAATCTTCCAAAACCCTGATGAAGATTTGTATTCTGTCTTTGCAAAAGTGTGGTTTTTGAGTGAAAATAATCACGACAACGTATTCAACAATTGTTTTTTTGATTGCAGCAATGTTCAATCATGAGATGGGTTGGTTTAAAGGCCAGGAAAGGATAACTGTATGTTCAAGCTTTCTGAAAGCATTCTAGTGAAGGTTTTACCAAACCTACAAAAAGGATCTATGTTGCATTTCTAAAATCAAAGTCCATTTGGGACTACCTACTCAATGAATCCAAATACTGTGATTGTTAAATATCTGTTTCTCACGCTGCTCTAGTCAAACTACAGCTTCAGGATGCACTTATCTTTGCTGTTGGTACACCATAAGGTGAACCCGAACAGCAAATATAATTGTACAATTTGTTTAAAAATAAATATATATGGGATTTAAGAAAGAAGTTATATTTCTGTTGCTTGCCTGTAGTTTAAGGGAGAAAATGTAATTTTTAAAAGGCGTATCCCCTTAATTAACATGTGTTAGCATACACATAATTACATTTCACATTTATTTATCATCCAGCAACCCAGTGTGGAAAATCAGAACCAACATTATTTGTGTTAGTATACCACAATTTCAACTCCCCTGCCGAATCCATCTGCATGCACCCAGATAAAACAGACCTTGTTGAGCCCCTCCATCACCATGTGCGGCATGTGCTCATTGAGCATGGCGGGTGATATGATGACCTCATCGAAGGCCTTGTTGTCTCCCCACAGAGCTGAGTATGTTGGCTCCTCCTGGCCACAGCTAAAGAGCGGAAAGAGAGAGTCTGTCAATCATGATGAAGTGAACACGCATGTAGATTTTGCAACAGTCTGCCTCAGTAACCATATGGGAGAAGCATAATCGAGGCTATGACATCAGTGAGTAGAACATTATGTGACAGACTTCAGAAAGTGAGCTCATCTAAGAAACAAGAACATACTCCAAAGATGGGGCTAAAAGCTCACTTGCTGCATATGGCCAACTAATAATTATTTCCCAAAACAGTAAAAAAGGGGACAAATAATTGTTCAGTATCTTCATTGCAGTGTGCTTTTAAAAACCATCAGACATTTAAAAAAAAAGGACACGAGGACGGCATCTCGCTGGCATCGTGAGATCAAAACCTGATCAAACCAATTCTGCCTCGTGGTTTTGCGTCATCTTGTAAAAGATGGTTAAAGATTTGAAGGCTATTTGCTTTTGTGTCTTCGTCAGATACATACAGCATCATTGCATTAGCAGTAAACTACTACAGGCAAGAGATCAGATTGTGGCATCTCGATGGACTCTATTTGAGGTAATTGGCTTTCAGTGTTGGTCAGCAATGCAACCATAAGTTACCTTTGATTGTGTTATAGTAGCCACCATCACTGAGTGTTATCAAACATGACAACTGAAATGATCTCTTTTAAAAAGTTATTACCATCCCTTATACTTTTTAAGATGGAGAATCCATCTGTTAATATCCATCAGCTCATAAGATCCCTCTAAAGTATTCTGGCCCTGGATAAGAGACCGGCTGATGCAGCATGCTTGATACCTGTGTCTTACAGAATCAACATCAAAATGTCTTCTAATCTAAAGAGTTATATTTCCCACATAGTACAGAACTAATAACACCACGTACAAATAAAAAATGTAGTGATAGGAAGATTAAATAAAACATCACAGCCCAGCAGAGAGAGCAGATAGAAAGCCAGGGGAGTGCTGCGTGACACACTCTAAGCCCACACTGTCCCCAGTATGCAGTGTACACCTTTTCCCACTGAGCTGCCAGCTCTTTTATTTCATAGGTCTAAAAAATATATTTAAATTTGCTTTGTGTCCACACCTCAGATATAAAACCATTTGTGTGGTGTGGCCAACACATTACATTTTTGGACAAAGACAATTTAAATGTCAATACCGCGCAACTGAATCTCATACAGGTAAAACAGTAGCAACATTTGTATGTACATAATTAGTTTAAGCTACAGACAGCTTTCCAATCAGTTTCCTCACCATGCCTCTGGAGGATGGTTGTGCACCACATGGATGATCCTACCGGGAGGGTAGAGGGGGGTGGAGGCTGAAAGGGCAATGCTGAGATCACTGGGGTGGAGCCACAGGCGACTGCTGGGAGGCGCTGCTGGCTGAGACTGAGGATCGTCATCCTCCACTGGAAGCTCTGATTTCGGGATGCATTTGGTGCCTCCCGCAATGATCCTCCACTGAAGCAAAGAAAAACGGGTTATGCAACATAACATCTGAATCTAAATATATCTTCAGTACATTGGATGTGTTTCTGCAGCAGCCAGGGGTTAACTCAATGATGCTTTAATTACAGCAGAGATACTGAGACTGCAGTGTTGTGAGAGGCTGTGTGAAAGCCTGCAGTATATTTCAATCAGCCATGCAGAACTTGGAAACAACGTTATTATTCATTAGTATTTGAACTGTCGAGTTGTTTTCATTCAAATGTCCATAAAGCTGTCCCCAAATCTACTATTACTAAGTAGGGGTTACAAGTTAATACTACAACAGGCCTTTATATCCATTTTTCATCCTCTACAACAGGGTCAGAAGAAGTCACCTTAGGCTTGTTACTTTTCTGCAGGACTTCCAGAAGGTGGCGTCGGAAACCCTCCAGTTGTGACAGGCCCAGCCTATGAGAGAGCAGCAGCAGAATTGTTGTAAGCATGCAGCAAAGTGAAATTAAACACAGAATTCTGCACATAGTAGAAGAGATACCTTGGTACCAGGTCTTTTCCTAATACCACAGATGTGACGAACTCTTTTGAGTACTCCATGGCATCCTCACTGTGTAAATAAGAGAAAGAAACACTTTAATTATGTAAACAGGACATGTGGAGAGAGTAAAGCTGCCTTTACATGTACGGTCACTTTCTATTTGCTCAGCACTATGTAGGGCGTAAAACTGAGGTTAAGGCAGCCAGGCGGTTTTGTCTCCATGGTAGCGTGTCCTATTTGCCTTGGTGGCTTCTGGCTGTCACACACAGCTGTTATCTCATTGGTGAGGCTTTGAAAGGTCAGCGGCAACTGAAGTCAGAGTTGAAATAATGTGACTCAAGGATAACGCTTCCACCTAGCAGGGCGGTGCCTCTCTCCCCGTAGGTAAACATTGGCACAGCCAGCGCATCATGTGAAGGCAGCTCTCTGCACACATTTCCAACTCGCACTAAAGAACATTTCTTTATAATAGTTTCTTCATAATATTATTTTCTGACCATATCCACACAAAGGCTCACTCCTGCAAGTGCATTTTAGTCTGGTTGATACAATACTGATAATGATGGACAGAAAATAAGCAAGAGAACAATATAACAAAATCACGACCGAAACCACAGAAAAAAAAGGAAACCCTGCGCGCAGAATAATGCGTCACACCATTAACAGGTGCATTTCTAAAATAAGGCATCGAAGTGTGATCTCACAGACTGAAAATGACACGATTGATTGGGCCTGAAAAACAGGTTTACGTGATACTGCTTTTAAAATAGGACAGTTGAGAACAAGTGTATAATTGATAAACACAAGAAGACCATAACAATGATTGCTTGGAAATATATGGCTCTTGATCGATGCACATGAAAGACATAGCTGAGAACAAAACATGTCCACAGCCAGAAAGCACAATGTAACTGTGGTGAACAATAGCAGATGTTTGCCTTCATGGGTTAATAACTTCAAAAAGGTTTCCTGGTCTGATTATTTAAAGCTGTACCACTATAACTACACCTTCAGTACGTGGTCACAAAGCATGAGTCATTTCCGTACTGTAATGTTGTGACCCCTTGTGTCCTGTATGAAAGCTGCTAGATTTGTTGGGTTGTATTCAATCTTTACTTTTATTGTGTCGGATGACTTGTAGCTTCTGATCAAAGTCTGAAACATTTACTTCTATTAACTTTAATAAACCACCACAAGTGCACTACATTATTTAGTTATCTCTTGGTACAGACTCCTTTCCTGCACGTTTGCATAGCAAACAGTTAAACACTGCAGCCAGCTGTATGGCAAGGTGTGAGAAAGCGCTCAAGTGTAGCCACACAAAATGCTAATGAACTCTAAACAGTTTCGACAAAAATAAACTATTCTGAAATTGCAAAGCACAGCTTGTGCGTACATGTCCAAAAACTTTTTTTGGTCTCTGGCAAACTAGTAGACTAGTTTTACATAAACATACAATGCATTTTGCAAGCCAATTCTGTGTGACACTTCTAGTCAATAAACTCAGCGTTTTAAATGAGGTGGTCAAATAAGGAAAAATGTATCTTTTAAAACTAAACAATATTGTATGTACAGAAGCAAATACAGTAATAGAGTTTCATTCCAGGGGACCTTTGTTGCAGGTGATAACCCCCGCATGATCCCCCTTGTTCCCGGTCTGCCTTTATAGATTGTCAAATAAAGCAAAAATTACAACAACAAAATCATAATCCCTTACACCATCGTGTTTAGGCTTCAGTGTAAACAAAGCAAGGGGCCATTTCTGATCAACTGATCATTTTGATTTCTATAGAGCAAAATAACTATTATAGGTGTGGTATCACTCTTTGGACTCTTTGCAGGCAGCTCTTCCCACCAATATCACTGACACTGGGGAGAAGAGGTGCCCTGCAAAAGAGCCCAAAGATATTAAAATACAATACCCGGCCCAGATACAGCCTGTTCACACTGCTGCCATCAGGAAGGCGATACAGAAGGATCCGCTGTCTTACCACCAGAGTACAGGAAAACGTTTTTATTCAGGTTAAGACTCCTAAACTCATCCTTTACGCTATAACACAACATTTATATTTTCCTTGTTTTGCTTTTTTTTATTGAGCAAATGGGAACATAACTGCACAACCCTGTTGCACAATGTCAATGCATTATCCTTACATTCTTGTATTCTGTGGTTGGACAGTAATGTATATTTGGACAGCTTTGGACCTAGGTTTCAGTAAACAAGTGGAGAGTGTATAACCTGTGATTGCAGACTGGTATGAAACATTATAAGCAGGGGTGCACATAACTTCTTTAGTGAGTTACTCAGATGAGTACCAGGAGACAGCGTTTGGTACTCACCCCACACGAAGCGTGGTCCTCCTCAGTGTCTCCTTCACTGTCCTCTATTTATACTTCTTGCATGCTAGATGATGAAGATGCACCTCCCTGTCTCTTTTTAAGCCTCCGATTTGCTCTTTTCAAAACTTGTTGGAAAAACTGTGAAGTCCTTGCATTTCCTGAGGCCAAGTTGGAGGATCAAATACTAAGAAATTATCACATGACTTGAAGTCATATCTGATTTCAGATGTGGGAAGTTACGAAGTACACTTCTTCAAGTACTCTACTTAAGTACAATTTTGAGATATTTGTACTTTACTTGACTTTGATCTAATTTGTAAAAATTAGCTGCACCTTTACCAGCTTTGAGAACACTTTTTAATGATCAATCATTACAAAACATATCATATATACCAATCTGCACAATGACTACTTTTACTTTTGGTACTTTAACTATATTTTGATGATAATACTTTTCTAATTTTACTTGAGTAACATTTTGAATGCAGGACTTTTATTGTAACAGAGTAACACACTGGTACTTCTACTTTTACTCAAGTACAAGATCTGAGTACTTCGCCCACCTCTGTCTGATTTCAAACTCTTCCATAACACCCTGAGGAAGTTTGCAACTGTGTGTTTTACTGCACTTTGTTGTAAATCAAACTGCAGCAGCTTGACCACAGAGCGTGAACGTTGTGATCAGCTGATTTTGCGCAGTTCTCCAGTGGGTGCGCGGGGCACAGAATGTGCTCAGGGGAGTCTCCCACTGTAGCCAGTTGGCGGAGATTTGGCACAATTCTGTTGTTCATACCGACGATAACCCTGTCTGTGCACACGGCGACCAACTCTGTTGTCCGGTGATCTAAGCCTCTGCCTCCTGTAAGCTTCACAGGTCCGTCGGTTATGTCCTGCGCGGCTCGGCCAGCACCCAGTTCAGTCAGTCACAGAAAGTCCGAGGAGTTTTTGCAGGGAGCGAAACGGCAACGTAGCTGCTTAATGTCTTTGGTTTACTCCATTGACTGTTGACAAGAAACACGTGTAGACGAAATATGTGTTTTGTTTAGATGTTTTGAGGTACGCAAAGGCGCGTAGTGACACAAGTGACGTTACGCAATTCAGATTTTTGCCGCGCATGCGTACCTGTGTACCAGTTATGTGCACCCCTGATTATAAACATGGAATGTATGCATTCATTTGGCAAACAGGCTTTAAAAGACTTCTTTCACAATGTAATTGAACAGAATGACCTGATTTTGTTTTGTATAGTCACTTGCACTTCCTACAAACACTCCGGGATGAGCTTACCTAAAAAGGCCACCAGGTGGAGAGTAAGAGTAGCAGTGCAGTGTGGGATACTGAGGTCTCAGCAGGAAGGAGAGGATAGCAGCAGTGCCTGCACCAAGAGAGTGCCCGACTATCACCAGCCCATAGTGCATGGTGCCCTTGTTCTGAGTGAGAAAGCCAGAGTCATTACACTCATAAAGCACAACAGTAGTGTTAACACATCCAGAGAACAGAGGCACAAAAGGTTAATTATTGAGCCGGCCATTCTTTATAGGGTATATTAGAGTCGTGTACCAAGTCTCTTCCAAAGGCTTGGGATAAGATCATTTCCTGCTCCAGTTTCTTCTTAATGTATTCTGCTGAGAAAACCATCCCCTGAGAGGGAAAAGAAAGAGAAAGGGATTAAGTGGAGGAGAGGATGGAAAAAGACACACAATTGTGGACAAAAAGTCTCCTTCAAAATGTATTATTAAAAAGAGCCATAACAAGCAGTTATTTTGATTAACAACTCAAATAACCTTTGGATTCTGGGACGATGTTACGTGTTGGAAGTGATTGAGAACAGAGATACTTAAAGAGGAAACATCTCATGGTTTAAAGTAATGTATTGTAGGTGATTTTAATACAGTAATCTCTGACCTTGTGGCCAAGCCAGGTCCCGTGCTGCTCCTCTACGGGCAAACGCTCAGAATCCCCCGTCAGATCCGTCAAGGCGTCCTGATACACACAATAGAAATGAATTCTACAAAAGACGGCATGAAGCAGAGAACACAGGTGGAGGTACTAAAAAAAAAGGGGAATATCGACAGAGAAAGCTAAAATCTTACAAAAGTGCACACATTAGACAAAAGACTTACAAACACCATTCATAAGATTCAAACTGGATTATTTTTGGTTATACTTTAATAAGTGTACCTAAGCAGCTGTAGCAAGAGCTATAAGACCATGAAGCATGAGTGTATGCCTTTATGTCAGCCTTAATTTAATCATTTTTGTCAAGTTCTTTTTTTGGCTACTGTGTTACTTAATGGGTGGAGAACCACAGCACAAGTGTTTCTTATCTTGATATTATGTGTCAGGTGTGATTTTGTCTTGAGCTCTACAGATTTGATATATTCAAAAGCACATTTCAAATCCTTCTCTAATCTTTGTATTCTACTATATTTGTGTTTTCTACGCGTACAGCCGCTACCTGTTTTGAATGGTTGAGAGCAGATCATCAGAAATCAACAGAAATAGTAGTAATTTTCCTCTTGAAAATATGTTTTGCCTTTTTTACAAGGCGGCCGTGAGTAATCTCTTTCCTGTAGGTTCAGTTCAGGTCTTACAGCACTACAGGAATTCTCAAACACTTGTGGTAAAAAGTATAGGACATTTTGTTCTACAAGTGGACAGTCACGTTTCTGCTTTTTTCGTAAAAGGTGTAGGAGTTTGAGAACGCTGCATATAACTATGATAATTCCACCTGCTCTGGAGGTGTTGCTGTTGTAAAGGGAACATTTTTGTAGATAGTTGAAGAGACATTATTGTAAAATCAAGAAAAGAAAGCGTAAACTAACCTTTGGAGACAGGGTTCCTCTGATACTGATTACAACTTTCTTTTTCGCATGGTCCACTGCCACAAAAAACGGTGTTTCGTAAACCTGTAAGGAAGATGCAGAGCGGACAGTAAACTGTGGTGACAAAGTCAGAGGAACAGACCAATTCTAGCTCGTTCCACTTTCATGCCAGCAAACAGAGTCCTTCCTAAGTCTCTGTCATCAAACCTTTCCTAACTTGGCACGGCACCATACAAGTCACTTCATAAGTCATTTCACAATTACATTTATAGATGGAAACTTAAGAGTTCACTGAGAAAAGTTCTGCTTTAGAAATCATCATCATGAGCATGACGTGCTAATGTAAATGCTGTGGAAATTCCACATAAAACTAAATTGGATAATTGAATATCCGACAAAATTAGGAAACTATTTTAACAACAATTTGTTTCTATTTCTGTAGGAATATGAGTGCTCATTTGGATTTGAAAGTGATGGGTCTTTTCATATTAAAGGTGGGGTAGGTAAGTTTCAGAAACCGGCTCGAGATACACTTGTTGTTATATTCCATGGAATGCTCTTAACATCCCGATAGCAATGAATATCTGAAGTGCTTTGACAAAAAATCCATAAAGAAATGTCATCTGTGGAAGCCGTAATACTGTAAAAAGCACGACCAATTGGATTGCCGCCCTGTCTGTCAGCCTTCCATCTCGTGCACGCACAAATGTATCTCGTGCCCTCATTGGGCGTGCCGTAATTGGGCGTGCATTGCGCGTTCATCTGTGTTGGAGGAGGTGCTCTGTAAGGAAGTCTGAAGGAAGGGGCGGATTCTTTTCGGCTGTGTACTTTCAAATTTTAGTGCACTCGAGCCGGTTTCTGAAACTTACCTACCCCACCTTTAAGTAAACACATTTGGTTTGTGTTTACTTCGACCATCGTCTTATATAACGGAGGTAAAAACGCTTTCAAATGTTATTGTTATTAATTGCCAACAAACTTTTTTTTGTATTTGCAACCGGCAAGCCAGCTATAATTAATTGGGTCTAGATACTTTAGAGGGGCCATTTTTAGATGGCTAAAAAACATTTTGCTGCTGCCCCCGTCCACTGCAGTAAAGTGCTTTGCTCTCTGGCTGGTACTCCTGTTTGCTTCTCCAAACCAGGGGCCTAATATAACCCCACTTGATAAAAACTAAACTATCCCTTTAGTATGGGGATGCAGGAGCTTTACTAGATACAAATGTACCCAAAAGGTGGTCAAGGAAACAACCATGGATGACATACCCATCACATATGTCCCCAATTTATATATTAGTCGGTGTGGTATCATTCTTTATGATATGCGCAGGCATCTGTTATTACCAATACTGCATGTCACTGATATTGGTGGGTATCACCTACTGTAACCCATTTACCAGGATTTCAGATAGAAAAGGTATATGAAAAATCATTTCATTGGATCATTTCAACATGGATCATAATTTGACAAATGAAATGTAACTCAGTATAACGTTATCTTGGCTTTGGACAATGCTGGTAAAAGACTGATATAAATATTGAGGGCAGAAATGCAATCCTTAGGCCACCAAAGATGGCAGTCACCCCTCTTTGGCTGCACCTGAATAATCTGTCCCTGACAATCACAAACAGCCTCTGCAGAGTCCAACCCTGTCCGAGAACACACTTGACTTACTGCCGGGGGGGTGGACACAGGCTCCACATATCTCAGCAACTCAACTGGAGAGTAAAGTGTTTCCAAAACATTTTCAAATGATAGCCAAGACTACAGATTAAAGCTGTTGTATGCAGAGCTTTGTCTTTGTGTGCGGGAGAGCTTAACCATGGTGTATCATAACGTACCAAAACAGTGTATTTTGCAAAAAAGTTGTATGCTTTAACATCAAAACAAAAACAAATTGGACAAATACAAAATTAAATACAAATCCTGACACTGTTCCGCAGACATTCCTGCACACAACACATCCTTTGGCTAATTTAGGAAGTAAAACCCAACATCTCTGACTACTCTTTAGCCAACTGCCAGATTACTCACAGCATCGTGGCAGGATGTGTAGACAACCTGAACCTGCTTGAGGTCTCTGTCCAGGAAGTGTCTCCGTATGGCCAGGACATTACAGCCGCAACAGTTGTCCTCCTCAACTGTCACAGCCTGAGTCATCCGCGAGCTGGACACTGACATACAGCTGGGTATGAGAAGCAAAGATACGAAGCAAAACGGGAGAAAACATAAATACAAAAAGACAGATTTTTATGTAAAGCAGTATTTGTGACAAGAAAATTGTTGTAAACTGATGAGGTTACAGAGTCATGATCTAGTATCATAGTTCAGGCCATATGGATAAGAGAATGTGATTCATTAGACACCGCTCGTGTCAGTGAGCGAGTCCAACTAGAGTGGCATTGTCTCTGTGGATTACTACTTGGCAAGTGTTGACGCATGTGAGATTGGATCCGTTTTGAAGAGGCTCAAGGGACACAGAAGCCAAATAGATAAAAACTGTGCGGGTGAATGTTTGAGAGCTTACGGGCAGGAGCTGGCAAGGCGGCACAGCCCACAGACAGGCTTCCTCATTAAGTACATGGGCCAACCATATGCAGCCAGGGCGAAGAGCATGTAGTAACACACATCCTTGTACATGTTCATCTCGACCTGCAAGAGGGAGAGACAGGCGGGCAGACGGACACACACATGAGAACGACAGAGGGATGACAGTAATATCATGGACATACTGAGATATTCTGACATAAATGCACAATAATTGCATATAAATATACAGTACTGCAGGAAAGCTAAGGTTTTTAAAGACAGTTAACTATCAAAACAACTGCCATTAGTTGAGGAGTACAACTATTTTGCTTGTTTGGTGTGAAATGAACACAAATTAAGCTAATAGCTAAGACACATATCTAGTTTTCTTGTGAAAATTAGGGTCCTTTCTTGTGAAAAATGTGTTAGCTAGGGAGCCCTCTCTTTGTGCATTGTTTTGCAATCTTGTACATGTCTTTAAGCATTTAAAAATGTGTTTAAATGCATTGTGTATTTGTATGAGGCAGTGTTTATTTGAAAACCTGAAGTTTAACAAGACTTCACACAGGTCAACCTTCACTTTCTCATTGTATTATTCAGATAGAAACTCACCGAGTTCTTAAGGTCCAGGTATCGAGTATTACGAGTGACAGGCATTCCAGATAAGAAGGCTAAAATGTCATTGTTGCCCTTGCAAGGTAAAAAAAGGGTATGAAAGTTATTATTTTTACAAGCACAAAAATACAGACATTAATATAGTTGTATTGACAGCGATACCTGGTCCAGGATAGATGATCTCTTAGACCTCTGCCTCTGGCGGAGAAGAACCAGGCCAGCAATGATATCACTAGGCACAATGTCCAGGTCTCTGAAGAACTCTGCAAAAAGGCTGGCCACTTCTGAATACGCATCCTGGACATGAGAGCAGCAAACATCAGGAAAAGTTGGAAAAGCATAACAAAAAAAGAGAATTAAATTAAGTAGTTTCATTAAATCATGCAACCTTTGAATCAGTAATACTCAGGTTACAACTGTGAGGCCTGCAGAGCATTTCCTAATCCACAATCAAAATAAACAGTGTTTCTCAATGGGATTGTTTTTATTAAACTTTTAAACATAGCAGGGTGCGTTCAAAAAATGAGCATGAAAAAAGACTGATGGAGCATGTTTAACAAAATAAGTTACCCACGCATTTCTGTCATTTCACAATAGGGGCCCCTGGGTAGAGTGAGTTAATTATCATAGTTCATGGGCTTTGGACTTGATACGATACTTGTTGATAACTTTAGATACATACAGTGGGGCAAAAAAGTATTTAGTCAGCCACCAATTGTGCAAGTTCTCCCACTTAAAAAGATGAGAGGCCTGTAATTTTCATCCTAGGTACACTTCAACTATGAGAGACAGAAGGGGGGGAAAGAATCCAGGAAATCACATTGTGGGATTTTTAATGAATTAATTGGTAAAATAAGTATTTGGTCACCTACAAACAAACAAGATTTCTGGCTCTCACAGACCTGTAACTTCTTCTTTAAGAGCCTCCTCTGTCCTCGACTCGTTAACTGTATTAATGGCACTTGTTTGAACTCGTTATCAGTATAAAAGACACCTGTCCACAACCTCAAACAGTCACACTCCAAACTCCACTATGGCCAAGACCAAAGAGCTGTCAAAGGACACCAGAAACAAAATTGTAGACCTGCACCAGGCTGGGAAGACTGAATCTGCAATAGGTAAGCAGCTTGGTGTGAAGAAATCAACTGTGGGAGCAATTATTAGAAAATGGAAAACATACAAGACCACTGATAATCTCCCTCGATCTGGGGCTCCACGCAAGATCTCACCCTGTGGGGTCAAAATGATCACAAGAACGGTGAGCAAAAATCCCAGAACCACACGGTCTAGTCAATGACCTGCAGAGAGCTGGGACCAAAGTAACAAAGGCTACCATCAGTAACACACTACGCCGCCAGGGACTCAAATCCTGCAGTGCCAGACGTGTCCCCCTGCTTAAGCCAGTACATGTCCAGGCCTGTCTGAAGTTTGCTAGAGAGCATTTAGATGATCCACAAGAGGATTGGGAGAATGTCATAGGGTCAGATGAAACCAAAATAGAACTTTTTGGTAAAAACTCAACTAGACGTGTTTGGAGGAGAAAGAATGCTGAGTTGCATCCAAAGAACACCATACCTACTGTGAAACATTGGGGTGGAAACATCATGCTTTGGGGCTGTTTTTCTGCAAAGGGACCAGGACGACTGATCCGTGTAAAGGAAAGAATGAATGGGGCCATGTATCGTGAGATTTTGAGTGACAACCTCCTTCCATCAGCAAGGGCATTGAAGATGAAACGTGGCTGGGTCTTTCAGCATGACAATGATCCCAAACACACCGCCCAGGCAACGAAGGAGTGGCTTCGTAAGAAGCATTTCAAGGTCCTGGAGTGGCCTAGCCAGTCTCCAGATCTCAACCCCATAGAAAATCTTTGGAGGGAGTTGAAAGTCTGTGTTGCCCAGCGACAGCCCCAAAACATCACTGCTCTAGAGGAGATCTGCATGGAGGAATGGGCCAAAATACCAGCAACAGTGTGTGAAAACCTTGTGAAGACTTACAGAAAACGTTTGACCTCTGTCATTGCCAACAAAGGGTATATAACAAAGTATTGAGATGAACTTTTGTTATTGACCAAATACTTATTTTCTACCATAATTTGCAAATAAATTCTTTCAAAATCAGACAATGTGATTTTCTGGATTTTTTTTCCTCATTTTGTCTCTCATAGTTGAAGTGTACCTAGGATGAAAATTACAGGCCTCTCTCATCTTTTTAAGTGGGAGAACTTGCACAATTGGTGGCTGACTAAATACTTTTTTGCCCCACTGTACATACTTGGACATATATATGTATGCATGTAATGTAAGGCAGTATGGCTTGTATAGCTGAGGGATATTTTTGAATGCTTCAAAGCACACTAACCTGAGGGTTTGTCTGGTCCAGTGGGTTTGTACCAGCTCACTGAGGTCAGCATGTCTTTAGACATTGAACTGCTGGCTAAAAGCTCATGGCATTCTTTCAGTTTTTTACTTTCATGACTTTAAATCTGCAGTTCAGTCTAGAGCAGGGGGGTCAATCTCAAATACACAGTGGGCCAAAATAAAAATAAATCGGTACTAGTTGAGGGCCGGACTGGTTCAATGTTTATTGCAAAACTTATTGAAATGAACTTATTGCACATATTAAACCTGGAACTAACAAAGCTTAAATTATTGCCTATAAAAACAACATTAAATAATCAGTTGCATTCATTTCTTATGGCTCTATCTGCAGCTTTTCCGGAGTCATTTCTTATGATTACATTTTTCCACAGGCCAACAACAGCTTCAAAAAAACGATTTCCCTCATAGAAAAAAACAAACATGCCCTGTTGTTGCAAGAAAAAAAGAGTGCAGAAGGAAACATTGAAACTCAGTTAGCTGCTAGTTCAAGCCAGATTCTTGGCATCTCATCTTGGGTGCAAGGTCATCAATGTTTGGAGTCAGGCTCTGAGCTGAGAAAATCCTCAGGATTGAGTGAAGGTGTGCGTGCAATATTATACCGGCGGGCCAGATCTAATAGTAATTCAAAATAATCCTGCGGGCCGAAATTAAATCCACCAAGGGCCTGATTTGGCCCCCGGGCCTTGAGTTTGACGCATGTGGTCTAGAGGATGGCAGTTAGTGGGCTTTATATGACTGCAGTTGTGCGCACTTACTTATTTTTAGTCAGCTAGTAAATTGATTTAGCCTGAAATTAAATATTTGAAATGAAATTCATATTTTATAAGAAAAGCTTAATGTTGCCAGTGAGTAGCTAAGCAGCGATCGCCTTTATGCCAATGTTGAATCATCCCGTCAGTGCTTATTTTAATGACTGGCCCACTGGACTTTATGCCTGACATATTTCTGGTTTTATTCCCGTCTGATTTACTTTACCGGCGGAGAGGAAGCGGGTAAGTGTTGTGACTCACTGATTGTGTATCCTGTGCTCTGGTGCAGCACATGAAGAACTTCAGTCTCCTGCTCCAGCTGCTGGCTTGGCCTTCCTCTAGCCTGTGTCTAATGAAGAGAAAAGGGCAAGGAGAGCTGTCAAGACTTAGTGTGAGAAACAGGTAAGATGTGCACGCCTGGATGGATGCTGTGCTTTGGTTGAGTTTTGTGTAAAGGCAAAATATGAGACAAAAAGAGAAACAGAGGAGTAAGCGCCTGTTAATACCTGAGTGTGTACGTGGTGAGGTTGCGCTGACGCCGACGGGTGGCTTTAAGTTTGACAAAAGTCCGACCCGTGGGATCAAAGGTGCACATGAGGGTAATGCAGACACTGAATATCACGAGCCAGTTGCATGCAACGATTCCTGCAAAAGAACACCAAACATCATTCACATTCAAGCATAACAAACCCCTTTTAAACTTGCTTTACAAAGAAGCTCATTTATGTCTTCATGCACTCACCCAGAGCCAAGTTTTTGGCAGTGACATCAGAGCAAGGTTGGTAATACTGGACAAGCCAAGCAATTCCCACCACAGCATATACGAGCTCCACCAAGAGAATAGCTGGAGAGAAAGAGGGAGAGGGAATAATGATCAATATCTGCCCAATCAATATAAACAGTGTTTAGATCTTAATTTAGAACCACTAGTAATCTTCACAAGCAGTGTGTCTTACCTAGCCGTATATAGATGACGTACTGCACAGCTTCCCTGGGCTGTGTGTACAGAATGCTGCCTCTCATACTCAGCCACATGATGGCGCTCTCACAGATAAGGCAGCTGACCAGGATGCCCAAGTACCCTCGGCCATGGTCCACCAGCGTCACAGAACACGACTGCTCTGAGCCGTACGGGAGGCCGAACAGAACCACGGACAAAACCACCAACCTGAGTATGAAATCAAAGGGTAAGCAAATAGATTTCCTTGTGCAGAAATCCACTGATTGTCAAAATACATGTGCACATAACTATATATATACACAATCAATACAGTGACTCACCAGATGCAGTGCAATAGAAAAAGGAAGAGGGCGGGCAGCACCAGGTCATCACTGCCGACTGACCAGCGCCGCCGAAACATCACCATGCCAGGCATCACTGCCCTGTGGGGGGGCAGAGGGAAGAGGGACCACTTCAGGAACAATGGACATCATTTGCAACCTTGCTTCTTTGTCTAAAAACTCATTATGCCTCAAGTCTCTTCTTTCAGTTCACCACAGGTCTTTTTGAAAAGGTTTAACCTAATGTCCTACATACTGCACATCGTTATCTTACATGATGAGCTTCAAAACAACTGAAAAGGGAAAAAGAGACAATCCAATAAAGAATAAACCTCCCATTTGAACAGGGACGTCTCACATGTTAGATCTTTCTCCAACCTCAACATCTTTCTCCAACCTCAACATCATGAATAAAGCAGAGACTGAGGAAAGGGGCTGCAGCTGGGATTAGAACGCAAATGGATTCATACAGAGGATAAGAGTAAAAGATAATGGGACACAGAAAAGATGAGACTAAGTGGGTGAAGGGATGCAGAGGAAATGCACCACTTAATGAACAAAAGAGAAGAAAACTAGCTTGGATGTATGATGGTGCCACACTGATGGTGCGCACGGGAAAAAGCTTTTTTTACGTTACTCGGTCCACTCTTTTGAGTTGGAAAAGCATTGTGAGTTCCCTCAAGTGGCCTCTGGCCTAAACTGAAATGAACTGTAAGAGGTGGGGCGGAAATAGTAGTGAGAGAAGCAAACCCAGAGAGGCTGATGCAGGCCCTCTGCTGCAGTGATTGGCTGATGCAGGCCCTCTGCTGCAGTGATTGGCTGATGCAGCTTTTATGGTGCCCCGCTCCTGGCTGCAGATCTGCTCAAAGCTAAAGGACAGGGTTTCAGTTCTGTCCAAAAAGTATGATGCCGTCCATTATGCCAAAGCACAACTTTGTTTTAAGATGTCTTGCTGGTCCCTATCGAGCACTCCTCTGCTTTTTAGTATTGTTATAGAACATTTTTAGTTATTGAGAAACTGGCAGCCCCCTTCTTGTTTCACCCTTAAATACCACAGTCATCACAGTTATTAAAGTCGCACTGCTCACATTGTGCTCTCATGGAATAGCACACATGAGACCGTTTCATCACTCCTAAAGGTAAATGTAGCATTAAATAAAACATTCTGTTTGAAATGGCTAAAAACCCACAGCAAAGAACCAGCACAGCGGCGAACAGCATTTCCACAATGGGTGTAACTGCAGAGGCAATTTGGTGGGACCATAAAATCAGCAAAAAGCAGGAGTTGCCAAATGTGGTTTGCTTTAGATGGGTCACAAAGAAACGGTGCTGTGCAATTGTGGAATTAGATGAACTACTAAGATAAGAGTTACAAAGAGAAGTACGGGCACAGCAACTTGGTTTGTGTTGCATCTCATTTTTTAATTTGGCATCTATTTGTGTGATATTTTTTTTCCAAGTTTGTTCGCACTTCTGTTTTCTGACATTATGCATCTTGTTCCTGCTGCAAGTATTGCACCACACTATTGAAAATGAACTGGAATGTATATAGTAAGGTTTTACTGTTTGCATGCCAGATGGTGACAAGACGACATGCTTTTCATTCCTTTCCTGAGAGCGAGTATCGCCAGTGAGGGACATGCTCTTTTAGAGGATGAGCAAAAATCCTGCTTAACAACAGTCGAATAAAAGCTGTCTGTCGGCAGAACAATAACCCAAGTGGTCCTTGTGCTTTCCGTTTCACGGTGTTTTATTATCCATGCCCTTATAATGATGATAAATGTCGCTTTCTGAAAGGACTTGCTTTTAAGAGCGATAACAAGTGTACTCATTGTCCTGCACCAACAGGATAAATGATTTTGAATGAGAAAGCATCTGCACTGCCAATCACCATCACACCAAACGATTCCAACGCTCTATACCAAACCATGTTTTTCATGAATTCACTATACCTGCCGAGCACAAAGTCATGACCTAAAGGGGGCTTTGTAGTTTTACAGTTCTTTTAAAATGACAAGGAAGGGCATCTTCCAACATTATGAAATAACATTCATAGAAACATGTGTGCTACCACCTACATACGATACGATACAATATACTTTATTGTCCCCGTAAGGAAATTCGTTCTGGGCTCCGTCCAGCAGTTCCGCATACATGTACATAATATACAAACATAGTGGACATTTAAGAGACATACACATATCATCAATCATACACCGTTTGAACAAACACAATACACGCAGACGCACATACTGACAATGGCGACCTATTGCACAACCCTCATGGCCAACATTTAAAAAAAAGTACATTTCATTACATTTGACTTCGACTACATTTCATTTCCTGTCAATGTTAAGAAGTTTAACGGACATTGGTAGGAATGAGTGCTTATAGCGGTTCAGCCTGCTCTTGGGAACCCTGAATCTTCTACCAGAAGGTAGGAGCTGGAATTCTGGGTGGAGTATGTGGGTGGGATCAGACACTATTTTGTTTGCCTGTCTGATAATGGACTGCTCATATATGTTTTGGAGAGATGGGTGTTTTTTAACCCCCATAATTTTCATAGCTCTCAGTATACAGTATGTGTGGAGTACAGAAACACACTGGCATTTCCGAGCTGATCTGCTGGGAAAATAAGTTGCAACCGCTTTTTTTATTACAACACACAGAAACACCACAAACATTGCTGTCGGAATGGATTCCCATACCGCCAAGTTCACTTTGAATCTGTAACAAAATGTATATTCACTAAGAGCTTTGCATTGGCAAAATAACAGTTCTACCATATCCTATCATACCATCTTGTTTAAACCCCAATGTTAAGTGTGTGTCCGTTCCCCCTTTTATTTCTCCAGTGGCTGCTTATTGAGCCTAAACGCCTGCAATGATTTGCATTTGGCGGATGCAAAGGTTCCCCTATTGTTGGGGAATAACATGCACTGTGAGCTACCATGCTCTTTTCTTTCATCTAAAAGTGAATCACTTGTAATAGGATGACAGGACAAAAATAACTTCTTCTCTTTTGTATTGAGAAAAGGAAATGACTGGTGGAACTAGCTTAGCTTTATGAATGACCTTGATCAAGCAGACACTCACTTCTCATCTGGATGTGAAATAGTTTGGGTGCTTGAAATTGTATTTTAAGCAGCACGTCATATCCTTTTCTACAGGAAGTTGAACTGCTCAACTCCCAACAGTGGTCACAATTAGACCCCCACCAACATTTGCTGAGAAACACTTGAAACTATGTTTGGTACACAACAAAATGAACTTACAAATTAAGATGAATCTAGAAGAAAATTACACAAATTCAACATTGTGAGCTTTGTGAAAGTAGGAATTGCTAAGGGCTACTAGATTTCTGGAAACTGCTTTCATGAAGTAGGCACACATATTACAGGAGTAGTGATGATGCCCAGTAACAACTGAATGTTTTCAAAGTTTTAGTGAAACAACAATTATTTTTACAACAGCTCAGCCTGAACTGTATGGCATGTGATTGAGAACAGCAAAAGCAGGAGGGTCAGACCCCGAGCAGCGGAGTGACAGTATGGAGGGTTTTCTTTCCAATCAAAGCACAACAGCAGGTGGTTTCAGTGATTGGCAGACCTTCACACGAAGAGGACGGACGACACAGTGAACTCAGCTAGAAGACAAACTGTGACTCTCAGCCCTCCACAGATAAGGATTGGACACCTTGATATAACGCTTGGGTACGTGCTGTGATTTATTGTAAAAAGCCAAAGCAGAGGGGGGGGGGGGGGGGGGGGGGACTCGGCATGTCTCTTGACCTGCAGATGGCCGTTCTTATTTTCAGCCTGACATGTGGCTTCTCAGCCTTTAGATCAGGGGTGTCCAAACTACGGCAAATTCTAAAAGTATAATGGAATATGTCCCACAAATGAAACTTGTGCTTGTCTTATATTGTACTTCTTAAATAAAAATGTAAACATATATTACACAGTAGTATTCATAAGACCACTTTTCAAATAAATTCAGTCAATTAAAGTTGGAAACATTTTCTAACATATCTTAGTTGATAAGAAAAGCCCAATGACTTATTTACATAACAAGCTTGAAATACACCCTTCCTATTTCTCCTTATTATGATCAATCTGAGGTTTCTGTTTTAAGGGATGAGCTGCCAACACTCACAAGCATCATTTACCTACATTTGATTGATTTTGCTCATTTATAACTGAACTTATGAGGCAATATAGCTCTAGTGAGTGGCCCAGCCCTTCGTATATTGTTTCTGTATGTGGCCCTCTGTGAAAAAGGTTTCACCCCTGCTCTAGATAACGAATAAGAGAGTAAAGGAAACAAAGGCATGTGAATGGGTTCATGTGACTGAAGTCAACTAACAGCTACTTGTAAATCCATCTGGGTTGGACTAGGGACATTAAAGAGGACAGTGGGAGGAGTGAAAAAGGGGGAACAAATAAGTGACCATCTAAAAACACCCCCTCAAATATAAATTAGGTCAAAAATAATCAGGCCGGTGAGAACAAGCAGAAAGCAGAGGCAGCAGGCTCAGACCTCCAGAGATCCTGTTATCAGCATTCTGCTCCAGGCCTGTTGTTAAGACATGGCTTAAACTCCCAGCAGACCTCAACAGTGGAAACACATTTGACATAGTTATATATTCAATGGGATAAGAGTTACAGTATGACCTTGTTGTATAAATTGTGTATCTATTAAGTAAAGTTACTCTTATGGAAGTATTTTCAGCTTTTTTCCATCTTATCCTGTCATTATCTCTAGCCTATCCCAGCATGCATTGGGTTATTTATGGTTTCCAGGTGAAGGTTTTTGTCACCTGCAAACTACATTGGACTGACTGTTTCCTTAATCCATCGTTGGAAACACTGTGGCCTAAACAACTTCGAATGTTGACTGTTGTTATTAATATTGATATTATGCAACTGACTACAATACAATCAGGTTGGTCCGATATAGGTTCTAAAGATGTGGAAAAATATCTTGCAATTGTAATAATGGAGGGAATGATCATTTCTGAATGATTTTCATTGAAAATAAATAACAATTATAAAAATCTGAATTTTCTTTTGACTGTTTCTTTATGTTTATATTATATACAT